GATACGGCCACCGAGCTGCTTGTGGAAAGGGTAGATGGTACTGATGATGTGGTGGCGAGACAAGCGAAGGCTGAGAACGTTAGCAAGTAATGTTGGAGGAGATGTGGAAGGGCGTACTAGGTTCGGGAATGCTGCCAACATCGTTAATCAAGATTGGCAATGCTGTCGTTCCCGCTGGGAAAGGATTCTGTAATGTGTAGAATACAGTCCAAAGCCATCCCCTGTGGTTTGAAATATCGGGGTTGGGAGTATAACCAAACTGTGCTGCTTGTCCAGGCGTCGTGAACTGGCTATTAACCCAGCCCAAGGTGCCGCTGTTGTTCGAAAATGTGTTTTCGAGGTATCCATTCGCGTTGGTAATAGGATTATACTGATTATCGGGACCGAATCTGAAGTAATGACTGAAATCCTGATCTGCCATGTAACCTGCTATCGGAGCCTTGGCCCACAAAGCCGTGGGGTCAACGACATTGCTGGAGTAGAGACGTCCATCGGGGAGAATCTGAAACCTTGATGCGGTCTGGCCTATATTGTTCAAAACCAGAGTGCATTGAGCTACAAGATATCCGACGCTGTTCATCCGGAGGAAGACTTGCTGTCCTCCGATGAAAACACTCAGGTAGAATTGAGGGCTGGCTGTAGCGGAAGCCGTTGCTAAATTAATGAGTCAGTGTCTAGCACAGAAGATCATTGAAATCTCGTGTACTGATGAAACGACTAAATGAAATAACTGAATGAAATAACAATAAGAAATGTAGTTAGTTGAACGATGAACCTGCTGTCGTGCTTCTAGAGCTTTCGAACCACCACGGCAATTTGACCATGGGGTTATTTGATTGACTAAAGATTATCAGCCTTCGGACCAATAGGGGGTTGGAAGTATACAAACAAATTCGTAGAAGCACGATCAGGCATCGTTCTAGGCTCCTTTTTTCTTGGCAGACTTTGCACTCAAGATGCAAAGGGCCAATGATGAGGAAGTGATTCGCATGAAACTGATCCGCATGAAAGTGAGGTGCAATAAATGGTGAGGACATAGCTCGGTGACTGAATGGCGATAATATGAGGGAGTGGAAGAGATGGTGCAAGTGGCATTACCTGATGTAGTCTTTCTCGTCGTAGTTTGTCCATTAGCAATACAAAAATACGCGCAAAGTAAAAGGGGGAGCAGGGAGCGCATTTTGCCGTAATGCTACTTGACCTTACTAAAGAAGTTAGTTGTTTTTTGATGTACAGTTATGCAAAATAAGTTGTGAAAATTTGATGTTGTGAATATGATGTGAAGTTGTGAAAAGGTTGATCGATAAAACGTGCTGTATGATAGTGATAGTGTCGATGAAGAAGAAAAAGAGAAATCTTCAGGGGAAATAGAGTTTCTGTAGGGACGCGGAAATGAAATACATTCCTTTCCTTGAAGACAGATTCCTAACAACATTCTTGGGCTCAGCGCAGGGGAGAGGAATTATGCTATAATTGGGTGGTGAAATTCCAATACTTTGCGGGAAGGGATAATAATACAATTTGTTGGCCTCTCAGTCCATCAAAAGAATGCCATCACCGCAATGCCAGGCCAAAGAATGCGCATGGCCGTCCAACCAGCAAGTAAAGATTTGCTCTATCAAGCGATAATTGAAACTCGTAAATTCCTCCGCATTGCCAGAGCCCGGATGCCATTTTCGCCCAATAAAACGCAAAGAACATTTTAGACATAGTAAGAACGACAAAATTACCCTCTCGAGTACTTGGCTGAAAAAAAAAAATCAACCAGAGCTATCAACGCTATGTCATTTACATTCAAAATGTTGAACTGTTTTTGATGAAAAGTCTAAAAGCTTTGAGGACCAGAGAGAGTGTACCTTTTCTTCGATGATAGTACCCTACTCTTAATATCGTGATGTCCTCCATCAGATTTCTTCCGGGGACATTTCTTTTGGTATTGCTTTGAACATGTGTTGCAGAACGGGGTTGGAATCGTTCACCTTGATTGCAACCTGAAGTCAAAGACAGATGGCTCTCTGAAGAAAGGATGGTCTGAGTTCGCGCTCGTGGGTTGAGTGTGAGGAAAGCTTAGAGGGGTACCACTGATTATCCACCTTAGCGGTGGGCAAAGAAAGCAGATTAATATTTCGACAACCGGCGTGAGACATTAGATGGGGTGTTTTTGTCCTAAATAAGCTTAGCCCCACCTCTCGGTTAACCAGTTCACTTAGACTTCTTTCTGGATAACCTCAAATCCATCCTACAATTTCGTCTTCAGCTGCATCTGCTGTTGCAATGATCGATGGTTCAATTGCTTAAGTTGCTAAATGAATCGATCTCCTATGCAGAGGTTGTATGGCGTCTAGCGCTACACCTGATAAGCGAACCTTAATTCCGACATCTGCGTCACATCAAGCGCGTCTTCCCCACCCGCCATCCCTCTTCACATTAGCTAGCATTTAAGCCCCTAAGATGGGTGCGATGGCTCTTAGCTAGCATACTATCACCCACATAGAGGCAGCTCGATCGAGAAGCGCTAGCCAGAAGCTGTGTCTACCAAATACAAAAATCCCCCTCACTTCGTTGGCCTCCTTCTGCTTGGTGTAAATTATGTAGACATAAATGTTAAGGATAATGAGTGGCGTTTTTTATGCCTAGGGCTTCAATAACGATAATTAGGCCGCTTAGTGGAATGAGTCTCGAAATTCAATTCAGCTCGCTTTCAAAATTCAAGATGCCTTCATCCTTCGAGAATTATACTTGTCTGATTCAAGGACTCCTGAAACATTTTTATGGGTTTAACATTCCTATCTTATGTCGATCCCTGTACTATACAATTACTAAAATAACATATTCTACACATATTTTACAATATATTAAGTGCTTCATGCCTCGGTGTAGGGGCTCTACGTAGAAGAAAAACGTGTTGGAATGAGCTTGCGGTATTTTATAGTATGTGCGCAATATTAAGTGTATTTTTCAGTACGTTCGGTCTCTATTCCGCGACTTTTTTCTTCTACGTAGAGAAAAGGGGTTTGCTCTCGTTGAGCTACGCGCGACTTCGTCTAAAGATTTGCGAAAAGGGGGAGCAGTCACATGATTATATTTGCATCAACAGCAAATTACTCTTTGTGATAGCTTGCGAGTACAACAGTCGCTCTCTATTACTAAACAAGATTACTGTCATAGCCTTAGAGTAATGCTCTGATTTCTTTGTTGTTGTTAAACCTTGACCATCACAAAGCCACTCACGAAGTTTCCTGGAACAATTCACTGCAAGCTCTGTAGAAGAACAATAACATTCATACAAACAATCAACAAATACTTCTACAAATAAAATACATTAACACGACTCATCATTTGAAATGTTGAATCTACTTTGACAGTATTCACAAACCATCCCAGACGTCAGCAACAAAAGAATCCCACCCCAAACCTCATCACTATGAAGTGGACATTTCTGACCCCCCTCTTCGCAGCAAGCTGTATCTTAGCCGCGCACTCTACTCCGCCTGCCATCCCACCAGGAATAGACTGTGGAACATATTACGGTGCGCCGCTGACCATTCCGCGGCAGCTACCTACCGCTACGCTCGATGGGCTGCAGCGGCGTAAAGACGTAACAATCACAGCGACGGCGACAGCGGTCCAGACGAGCTTGGTGACAACCACGCGGACGGTATTCATCACTGAGCACGACATCAGTTTCAATAACGTGACCGTCACTACAGAAATCATCAGTACTATGATATTGACCGTGACAGCTATCCATACGGAAGTTCACAACCAGACGGAAGTAGTCACAGCCAGTGTTACGGAATCCAAAACTAGCACCACGGTGCAAGTCAGTTTGGTCACGGAAAGAGTCACAGATAGCGCTACAGCCACGACGACGGCGGCCCCAGTTCCAAAACCAGAGACGTTGGCTCAGAAACCCTGGTTCCATGTCGTTCTCTCTATCTTGTTGACGCTGGCGGCTTTCACATGGCCGCTTATGCTTCTGGGGATGTGGATGCAGAGGCAGCGGAGCAGGAAAGTCCGGAATCACCAGCATCAAATAAATCCAGAAGACGACATGGCGCTGAAGGATATTTCGCCAGCGCTGACAGGAGGGTATGTTTGAGAGAGGGTGGGGGATGGAAGGAGAGGGCTTTTTCTTTTGCAAAGATGGGAAATCATGAAACAATTTTTACTCGGTACAGCATATCTATAACAACAGAGAGCAGATTCAATATGCAAGTGATTACATGACGTGAAAGAATATAATTTAGAATGATAAGCCTCAAGCCAACATACCACTTGGTCACCTTAGCTCTTGCAACTGCTAGACTTAGAAAGTGAAACTACAAGGAAATGAACAAACATCCAATCGACTTGTTATTACTATAATTTTAAGTCGAGGAAGAATCACTAGGTAAAGGAGTTTTACTTGCTCTACTAACATGAGGACCTTCCTCTATCACAGTCTCGGCGTAATATTCTGAATCCCAATATCCATCCATCCATGCACACAAGCACCCCTCAAATCCAATCCAACCCACCACATCTCGCCTCCCATCCCCTACACCTCCCATTCACAGCGCAGCAGTTTCCCCAAGCCCATATAATCAACCCCCCTCGTTGATCATACACGCTTCCCGATCCATCCTCCGCGAGAACCGCCTTGCAGCAAGTCAAGAAGCTCTTCAAAAAGAAAAGAAAAAAACCAGTTAGTTACTTAATCAGTCCACGCAAATTAAAATCCGTCTATCTAGAAAAGAAAAGGAGATTCAACTTACAGCACCATAGCCGCGTCGCTTGACGAAAGACCTTATCTGTAGATATAAGCTGTAAAAACGGGAACGGGAACGGGAACGGGAACGGGAGTGGGTGTAGATGATTTATTAACACAATACGAGCAAAAATGCCCACTGCCTATATACAGCAACAGCCAAATACATTCCATCAAAATTTCCCATCTTGAACGCCAGACCCATCTATATATATCCCTCCTTTAATCCCATCATATACTTGTATTGAAATTACAACGTTATTAAAAAACCCACCACGACACACACGACCAACAGCCACGAACTCTGCACTGTCCTCCCCGCACCACTTCCACCGGGTTTATTCCCCGTAGCCTTCCCGCCCAGATACCAGCTCCCAATATCCGTCAACTCGCCCTTGTTATTCAACATGGCAACATTGGGGCCCACATTGCTGACATCACTTCTGAAACTCCCGAAATAGCTGTAGCGGTCGACGTAATCGAGGCGGTCGTAGTATTGGGCCGAGGTGTTGTAGAAGTCTTGGGTTTCGGGGAGGGTGGCGTTGTTGAGGGCATATTCGGTGATCCAGATTGAGGTATTTGGGTATCTGTAGTATACATTCATAAGCTTCCGAGTTCAAGATCAATATTGAGATTGCAGGAGAAACATGGGGAGGGAGGTGAAAGAGGAAGAGGGAAGAAAAACTCACGTCGCAACAACCTCTCCAATATGGCTCGCCAACCCGGCAAAATTCCCATACCAATGAATGGGAATAAAATCTGCTGTACAATTCGTCCCTTGACTCTGGCAAGCCGCAAAAAAGCTCTTTAACCACGTAAAGCCTCCTTCGCCCCCCGTCACAGCAGGCGCCCCAGTCTTGACTCCCTTTGCCCGCAGCGGCTCAACCTGTGCGATCCAATTCGTTGCGGCGTCGACAGGACTCACAGAGCTGCCTCCGGTCGAGGATTCGCCGTCCGGCTCATTGTATGTCATGACATGGCTTATATTCCTCCCGTTGGTGATCAGCGTTTCGATCTCGGACTGGAAGGTGGACGAGGGCGAGAAGAGCATGGGGACGTATTGGAAGTCGGATTGAGTGCGGTTTTGATATGCGGGGGAAGGGGCGGTGGCATAGTTGTAGTACCAGGTTAAATCGCTGGCTCCTTCGACCCAGATCTGGTTGTCGGTGGGGTGTTTGGGGTTGGGGACGAAGACGAGACCGCGTTTACTCGAGGTTGTTTGGGCGGTTGTGAAGGAGGCTGCTGCGAGCAAGAGGGTGCTGGTTTTGAGATGCATTCCTGCTGTTGGAGAAGGGATGGGCCGCAATAGAAGAGGAAGAGGTTCTATTGAGATTTCGAGCAGAGACGCCGAGGTGGAAATTGGGATGGATGCAAGGTTTAATACGAGCTGAGATCTGGACTGTATGCACAAGGGGAATCGGGTCCTCACCCTCGTACAAGCTGATAAGAAACGACAGTGGGGAATATAATATATCCACAAAGGAATATTTGAACAGTGAAAGGAGGGCAGAATTGAAGTAGCAGAGAAGAAGAGAAAGATTATTAGAGAAGAGAAGAAGAGAAGGGGAGTGAGGAAGAAAAGAGGAGAAAATTACATACTCGTAGAACTGAGAAGTCAAAAGTCGTTGCCAGCTTTTGGTGTTGTTCCTTCATTCTAACCGTGCGCTGCTGAACGGGCGAGCACGGGCAATAATGGGGCAATAATGGGGCAATAATGGGGCCCCAGTTCCAGCTTCCGCATTGGCGCTTTACCTACATTTTAGGCTTTGAGATCGATCCAAATCAGGGATAACCCCCTGTAGAGCCCCGCTAAACCAACTCTAAACTCCCTAAACGAGCGGTAAATCCGCCATTTCAGGCCCCTGATCATTAACAGAAAGCGATAAAGCAGGGCCCAGACCAACATTTCATGTCGAGTTCGTATACTCCAAATAACTTCATGCAATTGATCCTGTTGGTTGATTCTTCACGTATCCCATAAACTACAATATTTGTTACAGATATATGTACTCTGCAGGTGCTGGGATGCATAGCGTCTTCTTGGTTAAATGAGCTTTGGCGGATAATCAATTTGATTTCGACCTGGACTCCTGGAGGGAGAATATAAACTATTGAGTGAAAGGGGTCACCTGATCCGACATTTCCTCGAAAGAATAACATGGGAGTACGAGTGAACCTTGAATGACTGTCGAGTGATAGACAAATTTCAAATGCATTATCAAAAGCATTTTCTTCTACAACATTGAGGTGTGGTGGTGGCTGATACACATCCAAATACCGGTACCTAAGCAAAAAAACCTTTATTAGAAATGTTTGTTGTATCGCGTCCCAATGTATACCCTTTATTTGCGTCTTTCCCCGAAGACATCAGGCGCTACATCTGGCTCATGACTCTAGAGCCCCGCGTCGTCGAAGTCAAGCTCCGACTATGGGACATGAATGAAGGCAAAATAATCCACAACCTCCCTCAAAATCTGTATGGAACAGGTACCACCCACGAGCCAGCTTCCGTGGAGAATGCAAGGGGATACGTTGCTCCGTTTCCTGTGGCATTTGCTGTATGCAGAGAATCCCGGTCTACGGTTCGCCATCTCTATCATACCTTTAATGGCCATGCATTCTATACCACCAAAGGGACTCTTATCAATCCTAGAGTTGACATTGTGTATTGTCACGCTTTACTTTACACGCGAAATGTCTATTTTCCAGGGATGCATCCTTCTTTCTACTACCCAGACCGCGATTTACTTTCCCGGCTCGCCATCAACGACACATCACCAGCATCCATCATAACCATCACCAAACTAGCCATGCCCATCAGCGCCTTCAGACTGAAACGCCCGATCCCGGAATGGAAACTGGAAAACGTGGTGCAGACTCTGCGACGCTACGCTTCGCTGAGGCTCTTGATCCTGACAGAGGAGCAGTATGAAAGTCACTATGCCACCCAAGAGCTAACGTTTCCTTTTCCCGGAGAAGCGCAATGGGAGCCGATATTTGAAGAGCCGTTGAAGTGGCAGCCGAGTGATAGTGCGGACAGTGCGATTATGACGAACGGGTTCCTACATGCTAATGTGATTATGGATTTACTGAAGAGAGCTGAGAGTATGGCGGAGGATGGGTGGAAGGCACCGGAGGTGAAGTATGTAACGGTTCGAAGGCAGCCGTCCGAGAAGCAAGCAAGGGACTTGGCTAACAGGCCTCTGATTGCTTTCTGAGACATGGAATTGTCTGTCAAACTTCTAGCCTTCCGCGAGCCTTCCCCCTCGTGTTACCCATTCGCATATTTCGTAAGAGAGGTGTAAGGGCTGCTTAATTGCAAATACAAGTCTATCAAAAGAATCGATCTTACTCAGCGGGAGCACTATCGGAGAATAGAGCAAGGTTCAATCGAGTGCGGCGGTGGAAGCTGCCAATTACAAGAACATATGCACCGGAACCTTCAATGCTCTTTTTCTAAGTCTCGAGGTAGTATTCAAGACAGCAGAAGCAGAGAGTGGGGAGGGATGGACTACGCCAGAGGTCAAACATAGCAGAGTTGTAAAAGAACAATCAACTTAGGTATGTCAAGCACTGCATAAGGCACACTCCGAGTCTCAAACGCTAACACCAAAAGATTTCCCCATGGGCCACGAACCTTCGACACAAATGTCTTTTTCGCTACACCACTTTTACTTCCACCCCGATCTTCACCTCTAGCACACAGCACACAGCACACAGCACTCATTTAACCATAAAAGCACTCTCCCCCTCCTTAACATCCACCTCCTCCCTCTCCACTTTCACAACCTCAGAGTGCGACGGTCCTCTATCGAGATCCTTCAACAGCTTCTCGATATCCCCTTCTTCGCCCTGAGCTTCACCTTCCACCTACCCACACTCGCATATCAGCATGGTTCTGTCCTTCCCGAACCCCCCCACACACACACGTGATAAATTCATACCTTGTTATTGGGTACATTCTTCACCCAGCCTGTGAGGTTGTACGCCGTTGCTCTCTTTCGGGTGAAGTAGCGAAATCCAACTCCTGCATATCCATACAACATGAGCCTCACATTCGTCCGTTCCTTCTTTCTTCTCTCAACCGCATTGGAAGTGAACTGAAGCAAACAAGCTCACCTTGCACCTCGCCGTGGACGCGGAAGGAAATCTGTAATACAATAATCAGCTTCTGGTTTCCAGAGCATTGTTAATTTGCTAAGGGCAGTGTTGATTTACTCTTTGCACCATGATTGATTGATTGGTTGTGATTTTACTGGTTTAAGGCATTTGATTTTGCGATTGGTTTATCGATTAAGGTGTTAATTTGATGGTGTTTGGAATTTATGTCGATGACGAAAGAGGACGAGGCGGGGTGGCAGAATGCTTTCTTGAATTGGAAGGCGGTGAGTGAGGAAGCGAGGATTCCTTCCCGTGCGGTGCACTACCTGCGACTTTTAATGCCTATAAAGCTATAACAGTTCAACAAAGCTTACTCCTTGAAAGCACTACCCCAGCTAATATATTTCTATGTGAAATTCTAACTATCTATCAAGGATGATAATAGACATCGCTGATCATAAGCTGATCTCAAAAGAGCCTTCCTTACTCTGCTATTAGGCTTCGAATATATTAGTTGATCTCTCTTCTTTCTATTTCTTTTTTCTTTTCTTTAATCAAATCACAGTGATACCAGTGTTGCATTGCTCTATTTGACATCTTTCAATTGGCGCTCAGGGGAAGTAATCCTGTCAAGTTCTATGAAGGTGCACCACATGCTCACTGTAAAGTTTATCAACAATGGTATGTCATATATTTGATATAGTAGCGGTCAATCTTGGTGGGGTTTCATGTACGCTACCACGAAATAACTCAAACGTGTCTGTCAGTAACCCTGGTGATAGACTTTCGAGGTGCTATTTCCAGAGATGAACGATGCGGCGGAACAGAGTCTATTCCGCCGTCGTTTTCATCCTCCGCGGAGAGTCCGTAAACTTCAACCGCCGAATCTAACCCAACCTCCGCATCTCGCATCTGGTTTCAAAGCATGGCCTGATATCTATCCGATCGATCAGTAGTTCCCCGGCTATAAAGGGGATTGTGAAGCCCCGTTCCCGGTTCTAAATGTTAAGCTCCTCATTCTTCACTTCCCTCTACAACTATCCATATCCACCAAATTTTGTATCAAGCGCTATATTCGACCTACAAGCTCGACCAAAAGAAGAAGAAGAAACATATCACCATGCATCTTTTCATCACAGGAGCCACAGGATATATCGGATCCGTCTGTGTGGAAAAGGCCATCGCCGAAGGCCACACCGTCCACGGACTCTCGCGCACCGAAGCCGGGGATGCAAAACTAACAGCACTGGGCGTAATCCCAATCCGTGGCGACCTGACGACATTCTCACTCCTCGCGCAGGAAAGCGCCAAAGCGGACGTCGTTCTCCACTGTGCATTCAACCACGATTTCAGCGGCGGGGCGTTCGAAGAAAACGTACGCATAGACTGCGAAGCCATCAACGCCCTAGCGGACGGTTTGAAGGGCTCGGGCTCAGGGAAACACCTCATCGTATCCTCTGCGTGCGGCGGCCGCGTACCGGATCCGGACGGGGGAGAGGTCGACGAGACAGCGGCGGAGGATGCGAATTTCCCGCTGAAGGCGCGCAGGGTGTCTGATGCGCACGCGATGGCGAAGGATGGAGACGGAGTCAAGGTTAGTCTGCTGCACATCGCGCCTTTGGTGTACGGCCGTGCTGGGAGTGCGTTTGTACCCATGCTCATTGCCAGGGCGCACGCTGCTCGCGAGGCGTTGTATATTGGAGACGGGAGTCAGAAAATGACAACGTTGCATGTCGATGATGCTGCGACGTTGTATCTGGCGCTTGCGAAACATTCTGCGAGTACTGGAGGTGCTTTCAACGCCTCTGGGTCTACTACAAACACTGCCAAGGAAGTAGCGGAGGCAGTGGGTACTCTGCTTCATGTTCCTGTCCGCTCAGTTACTTTGGAGGAGGCTGTTAAGGAGGAGAATCTGGGGCCGCTCTTGTCGATGGTTATGGGTACCCAATACGTGTGTAGAGCAAGCAGCAAGAAGGCGAGGGAAGAGTTGGGGTGGAAACCGACTGGTGTTGATTTGCCTACTGATGTTGCTCATGGGTCATATACCAAATATGCTGCGAAACTAGCGCAAAATGTATAGGCTTGCAAAAGTTGTACGCATCGGAACATTGGAAACTAGGGCTCAGTCTTGCCTAGTATGGATTTTGGACGCTGGAAATGGGTTTCAGGGGATTTGAGAATGTGGTTTCTCCGCAGTCAACATTCAAAATCTGTCTATGGTGTAGTGTTTCTAAAGTACGAATTATTTTCGAGGGTTTTGACTTACATCGAGAATAAAAGGGGAGGTCGTCATGTGACGGGTGGTCTTAGTGCGTCAGACTGAGACGGGTATATTTAACATTGACACTTATTCAACATCTCCTAAATCTTTTCAGTTTAATGGACTATGATATTTTTCTTCCTCCTGTCCGTCGAGAAATACGAACCAGGCTATTATTAACGAGGTCTGAGTCATTCACCGACAACCCGGCGGTAGGAATGACTGACTGTCCTCTCTACTTAAACTTACTTTCGATCTCTCCTTCATCCAATGTTTCAAAATCCCAAAGACCAGCCCATCCACTACGGTACACACAATTACAATTCTAATTACAACTTGTAAACATGGACCCCCTCTCAGAGCTCGAGCGAATGGCCCAAAACGCCACAGCCAGCTCTCCCAGCCCGCCCACCGAAGCCTGCATCTCCCGCTGGCAGCACCTATTCCAGTACACGCGATCCGAAGCCCAGATCCTAATCGCCACGCACCGTAGCGACGTGACGCGTATCCGGATCCCGGACTCGCACTGGGCGCTGGTGCGCGAAGAGCGCGAGGCGGCGGGCTATGACCGCGAGACGTACGAGCACAGTCTGCAGTTGAAAGACGTGTTGAATGCGCAGAGCACGGTTGTGCATGATGGCGAGGGCAAGGCATGGTGCTTGATCCGGCTGGGGGGCCTGTTGGGCAGCGCGGAGAAGGTGCGGGATGTTGCGGGGTTGGGGGAGGTTCCGGGGGTTACGGAGGGGTGGAATGAGATGGGGATGGTGAGGTTTTGTATGGTTGATGAGGAGGCGAAGAAGAATATTGAGAGGTGGGTTGAGCAGCAGCAGGTGCTGTGATGGATGGTTGAAGTAACTAGGGAGTTGGGTTCAGGGGTCGGGTCGCGTTTGCTGATTTGGGGTGTCTCTGTGCTCTGTGTTCAGGAAACTGGATGGTGTGAGAATGTAGAGGAAGCCGGCTATCCCTGATCAAAGTTTTGATATCCTCGCGGAATTGATAGTCGTGCATTACTCGAGACTATTCGAATGCAAATTAGTTGATCTACTCCCACTCTGTCTCGTATGGAATGATGTTTTGCATCCATATTCCCTTTTTGCATACTTTTAGCAGAAGTTTGAGCCTGATTTTGAGACTCCTAATCAAGTATCTCAACCTAACTCCTACTTACCTAGTTCTAACTCCTGCGGTCTTTCCTGTACAAGGCCCACCAATTTTAAACCCGTAAACTCGTTATTGCTCCTATATGCATGCTGGACATGAAAACGACACCGATTTTTTTTCGACTTTTATCCCACGCTACATGGCACCAATTTTTCGGAGCACCTCAAAGCTTCTACTTTTTGTGGATTCGACCGTAAAACATTTTAGGAGTCAACTCCCTCACCATGTGAGAGTGGACGGGTCACGCTATACCTCACCACCCCATCCTCGTCGGCAGCATGCGCGCTCGAACCTCTACTCGCTATCTCCGGATCCAAGGATCCGGGACTAGTCGAACTCAATATTACACCCTCTGATCGAGGCAATGAACCCCTTGAAAACACTGTAAGTTTTGTTTCCGATCCATTGGAATTCAGCGATGTGCATCCCAATCTCGTGAGCCAGGACGGGATACGTTTCCTGTGGTATTTCAGAAACGCAGGGAGGACGAAGAGACATGCGCAGATGAGGCCTATATCTACTTCCAGGATACTGAGATGGTTTAGTGCCTAGATAATCACAAGGAGTCTATGAGGACGTACGACCAAATGCCTACACGGGTAGTATTCCACGTGAAGTCCATAGAATTCTTGTTATTGATCAAGATCCCCATTCGGGCAATGCTTGTCGCACAAGCACTATACTCGAATTAGCATCAGTGTAATGCCCATGCCATGTCTGTTGATTGCAATTGCCGAGAAAAAGGAGAAAGAGAAATCCTTACAAGACACCCAATTCGAAGACGACAAGAATCCTCACCTTGTGCATCGTTCCGACGGGAAGCGCTATAACCGTCGGGATGGGCACGAGCAGGATGTAGAGATCGCTGAACACATCCAGGCGCCCGAGAAATAAGCCAAAGCATGACCTTGGTAACAACGACCGCCGTTGATGGCATCATGCCATATATCAGGAGGCGGTTGGCATTGGAAGAACGACACGATGAACACGCTGATGTAGGCTATTGACACAAAAGCGATGCCAGCATTGACGAACAGGAGGGTGTTGCGGGAGGGGTGGAAGATGTGCCGGTAGAAGAGGAGGCAGGTTAGTTTGACAAACATCTGGAGGGCGTTGTAGACAAAGATGCCGATGGCGAAGGGCTGTACATGTCTTGCTATTAGTGGAGATTCTCAGGCTATGGAAACATGGCTGATTGAGGTGGGGAGGTAGGTACCTCGTAGGCCTTTGGGAAGTCCTTCATGGGTATGTCCCAAACATGGTGCCCGAGTCCATTTGCCTCAGCTAGAACGATTCAGTCAATTAAAAATTCGACAGACGGAGCTCAATCAGACACAACCCACCTGTGAGTTGGAGAGCAGAGAAAGTGATAGTCAACAGCTTGAAGGGCCGTTAGTTGAAATTCGGGTGCATTCAGCCATCTAAACGTACATAGGAGATTACACAGAAGCCTAGATATAGATAACAGTAAGCTTCGTCCATGCAATCAATCTTTATGTGGAGAGAGTCGCACAATCATCCAGACTTATCCTCCTAGCGATGAACACCTTAGTATACAACCGCAACGCAACAAAGACCGTGACGAAAACAAGACACAGCACATTCGACGTGATTATAAAGATCGTCTGATCTTCCGGATCGACATAATTTGACTGCACACCATCCGGCGGTGGCATTAGGGGGGTATTTAGCGTCAAGTTCCCCATAACCACCAAACCATCGCTATGTTCACATGTAGCAAGCCGTTTGAAAAATCTTGAATAACGGTACCTCAACATAAAAGCGAACGCGACAGATGTAGTGTCGATGACTTGATATATTATTCAAAATAGAATTCCCATTTTCCCGCCTACCTACTCCTATTTTCCGGGGCCGGGTAGCGCCAGCGATCATTCTCTAGTAACCTTCGGAAATCCACGGGCATGAACCCGAGCATGTGGAAGGCTGACCCATCTAGTGCAAATACGGTTGGGAAACCTTCACAAATGCCGAACGAAGCAATGGAATGAGACAAGTCACTCGCCGCCCTTGGTAGGAAAGCTAGCGTCAATCAGATTGAAGACTAGATCGGGAATTCTCCATATCGTACGCGAACCACAGAAGACGTCGCAGTTGAGGTAGAGACTTGTCGTCCGCTTTAACGAGTGATCTATAAGTTGTCAAGTGTTGTTCCAAGGCTCTTCTGATCCGATGCCCTACAACCAACTAACAAAGCATATGCCCTCATTCGTTTTCGCAATTCGTACTCACTAATATCATAAGTTTGATGATACTAGATATGACAATAATATAACATATAAATCCACGCCACTTCAAGAGATCAGAATGAACGAAATAGAGCATGTCCTACCTCAAAACCCATTAAAACCCATTCTAGTCAATGCCGTGCAGTTCTAGAAATTACGCGAGGGTAAAGCTACCTACGCTCGGTACGGTACGGAGTCCTGCCTAGGTACTTTATGCGGAAACTCTCTTTCTACGCTAAACAACCTTCCCCGCAAGCCCGGTTAGAGTCTCCAGAGACCCCACTCAGACTTGAGAAAAGGCTGAGTAACGAACGCGCTTAACGAGCCCCTCCCCCTCAATATATAGAGAAAACACTCATCACGCTCCGAGAATATGGCTCGTCCTCGGGCTACCTACCTATCGTAACAATTCCGAATAATATAAAGTTAATATGAAACCGCTCCAAAGTTAATAGTTTTGGTATGACGATGATTACTTTCGCATAATGTATACTTCGCGTAATATATACTTCGTGTTCGCATATTAAGGGGGGCCTGAGCGTTGCCGTTTACCCAGTGAACCTGAGGTTTTGGCATTAGTAACGCTATTTTGCATTTAATCATCTTGATTTTAAGTAGATATTTTTAAGAGTTTAAAGAGTCGAAAGTTTGTCAATCCAAAATCATGCTTCATGCGATTTTATGTACCTATATGCCTAATTTAAAAGCCCCAACCATACATACAATCACAATTGCTCATTGACAAACAGTCCAGCCATTCCCTGTCCAGTCCCAATACACATACTTGTTAACAAGATCTTCTTCTTCTGCCTCCTGCATTCACTCAGTCCAGTCACAATCTGTCTCGCACCAGTAGCACCCAACGGGTGACCCAAGGCAATAGCTCCACCTCGGGGGTTCATCTTCTCGTACGGCAGCTTTAGCACATCCTTGCAGTAGACTGCCATAGATGCGAAGGCTTCATTGATTTCAATAACGTCGAGGTCGTCAACCGTGATGTTGTATTTTGTAAGGAGTTTGGGAATGGCGATTGAGGGGCCGATACCCATAATACGAGGAGCAAGACCTGCGACAGTGGAGCCGACATATTTGGCGAGGATGGGTTGGCCGAGCTCGATGGCGCGGGACCGCTTCATGAGAAGGACTGCAGCAGCTAAAATAACAAATTAGCATCCATCCTCACATAGAAATCGCTGGACATACCTCCATCCGTAACCTGACTGGAATTTCCACCAGTAGATTTATCCCCGAAATCTGGGAAAGCAGGGCGGATCTTGTTCAAAGCCTCGAAAGTAGTGCCGTATCTTGGACCCTCATCTTTTGTCAAAGTTACCTTCTTGACCTCCCCAGTCTTGGGATCCTTGACTTCAGTAGTAATTGGCACAATCTCATCATCAAACCACCCAGCCTTCTGTGCAATCTCTGCACGGTTATAGCTCTCCGCCGCATACCGATCTTGCTGTTCTCTAGAAATATTGAAATCCTTGCCAACATTCTCAGATGTTTGCCCCATGGGCTGCATACAATCGGCCGCTTCTTGGGTCTTGAGAATCTCGGGGTGGAAGGGACGCTCAAGACGGTCGCCACCCACGGACATCGACTCTGCGCCAATAGCAACACCAATATCGATGCTACCGGAGGAGATTTGGTTCGCGATGTCTTGGGTGGCTTTGAGGCCGGACGAGCAGAATCGGTTCACAGTTGAGGAGGCGGTCGTATTCGGGAAGCCGGCTGCGAGAGCGGCGGCGCGGACAATGTATGAGGCTTTGCCTTCGGAGACCTGCGCATGATGGATTAACAGATGTATTCTGCGTAGGAAGGGAGATGTTGTACATTGCCACAGCAGATATCTTCCACGAGTTGTGGATCGAGTTTTGACTTCTGGACGACTTGCTGCAACAGCGCGTATATGAGGTAGTCGAGCTGTGTGTCCTTGAATCCTCCTTTGAAACTCTTCGCTAGCGGGGTTCGGATTGCGAGGGTAATGACTATATCGTCGGCATTCTTAGAGGTGCTAGGGATGAGATTAGGAGGTGTTTGCCATAAATTCCGGGAGGGGAAAGAAAGCTTACATGGATGACAATCCGGAAGAACCAGGAGTCAAATGTTTGAGAATCGAACTGAGTCTTTCGCCGGCCATCTTAAGAGATTTACGGTACGTAGGTTGTGCAGAGGGATGCTTTGTTATTGTTATTCTTGCTGTTGTTGTTGGCGATGGGGAAAGAGGACGGCTTTTAAGGATGTCTTCGTAACTGTTGATTAGTCTGGTGTGGGGGAGATGCCGAGGCAGGCAGGGGAAGAACAAGGGATGGATCGACCGAGAAGCCGACTATTCTGATCACGTGAATCGCGACAATCACATTGATTACGAGAAGGTATATTTTCAAATGGATACATATTCTGGATTTCAGACATCATCAAAGGGAAGTTTTCCTATTACTTCCTTGGTGAGCGCCGCTTTGGACGCGTCATATTGAGAACGTGATTACTTGCTAATGACCGCGTATTCTTTATTGTTTACTTCGTCAAGCCCTTTTTTCTTTCAAACCTCGCGGCTTTTCTCGCTAGCAGCTTGATACCTTTCTCTGTCCGCTAAGTGGCGGGGGTGCAGGGAGGGCCGATTTCTCTTTTTACTTGTTTCTCCGCGGTATGAAGTTATACTCGTGGTTTGGACTGCTTCGGGAGGTTTGCACAGTGCAAGTTGCACTTTGGTACGGGACCAATTGGCACTCACAGTTCATTGCGCCCTGGACCTTGCATCTTGTACAGCTGCATATAGTCTTATTGCCTTCATATAGGCCTGGTGGCGACTTCCCCAGACGGGGATGTAACTGATCTTGAGCATCTGCATATTATAGTTAGTCTGATCCAAGCAGGCGCTGACGTCTACGCTATCAACGAGAATGGACAATCCGTGTCAGATATGGTATACTCTGGATCACCCGAGGCACATTTTTGTGGCAGCTACAGAAGAATCTATAGGAGGCAGCATTGGGGATCTGCGGCTATGATCTTGTTGAGTTCCGAAGAGCTCGTGATACAAGGGTTCATTTCAGCCGACGGTATTTGAGAAGTTCTTACCAATGCTTCCAAAGGAGGGTCAGGGAGGCCACGGATGATTGCCAGTTGGAAGACATACAGTCGTATGATGGTGATGATTTTCTTTCAACTACGTCGGACTGGGATGACGAGGAACTGGGCGAAGTTGGCGAGGAACACAAGTCCTTGGAAAATGAGGAACAGTTACCTACTCGACCAATTTCCCCGAGTGGTTAAAATCAGCTGTTGAGGACGGCAGCGAAGGCTTTCAAATACCCGAGGAGGACCTTATGGACATTGATGAGAGTTCTCATTCACTGGATGCGCCATCGATGAGTCGATGACACCAGCCTGACTTGAATTGCAAGAGAAAGAGCCGGAGGTCAATCCGTGGAGGGATATATTAACCAATTAATGGAATGATCATTGGGATTGGACTAAGCCTTTTGCTCATCACTGACTAATTTGTCTAGTCATTTCAGGGAGCTAGAACATAGTACTTCCAGACCGCCCCTGCCATTTCGATATTTCTAATGATCTTACAGATATTCACACACAAACCCAAGAGTCATGACTAAGCGCATTTACCACTCTTACAAACCAGAACATCAGAGCAATCGTTCTCATCCGAGCATGTAGCGCCTGCTGAATGTTAATAAACCTTCATTCACACCCGATATGAGACTTACCTGCACAATGTCCAGGCCACGAGCAATTACCAGTAGAAGTTGGAGCGCCCGCCGAGGAAGACTTTGTCAATGTCTTCAAGGTTGTTGCGGGTAGAATAGGATTCAACGAGCTTATGGTAGTGCCACTTCCATCACCAATCCGCTGGATGAGCTTGTCGCCGAGTGACTTGATGCTGCTTTCAAAATCGGTAGCAGAGTCAGCATCCCAGGCAGCACCTGCTCCAGGAACGGCGTCTTCTCCTGTGAAGGCGATGTAAAGGACGTCCGTTTCATCATGACCGGAATTACCATTTACACTGTTGCCGAAACAGAATGTTGCCATTGAGATGGACGCTTCTCCGATGACGGCCTTTGGTCCATCATCGCCGTTTTCGTCGCCCCATATACCATAGAACTTGGAAACATCAGCACAGGTCATCGTTCCCCCGGAACTTTTCAATCATACCATCTTGCCACCGCATACCACGGCCATCAAGCTCAGTGGTTCCACGCCCTTGCTTTGAGGATCGAATGAGCCCTTGCTTCCCACGTTTCCAAACACTACGTAGGGATGCACGAAGGCGTTCAAATCCGTCACTCCTTTGTTATAGGAAGCAACTGTATCTTCGAACGACGTCTGGCTTTGGGTGTCATCAGATGGTCCACATCGTCCATCATCACCCTTCCCATGCTGCTCTCCATCGCAGTCGATATCCATATCTGCCATTGCGCCTCCAGTACCTTGAAGGTATATGACTTGGTAGTCATCGAGATGGTCGCCGCAGTAAAAGAATGCTGCTCTTGATTAGTACTAATCTAGATATGAGGTGGATGGACGAACTATTTGGGCCATCATCATGGGCATAAAACCCCTCGCTCAGCTTTTTACTGCAGGATCCTGCCGACTTGATGCCATCATAGAAACTCTGGACATTACTTGGAACATCTGCAGCCAAGCAGCGGCTGGCGAGAACTATACCTAGAAATGGGCTGTAAGAACGCATGATTAATTAATATGCTGAAAAAAAGTCCGGACGAAGAGTTTATTTAGCTTACAGGAAGGAATAGTACTTTATATATATAAACTTATTTATATCTCATCCCGTATAGCTACACAATTATAGCTGTACAAGCTCTGTACTAACATTCCATGGTGTAAGAAACTCCTCGAAGGAATCAAAGCCCACCAATGGCGCACAAACCCGTCCCATCAAATTAGCTTGACCCCCCAATCCCCCAATACGATGTCACAGTAGCACCAAAACCTTAATTATGTGTCTTTTGCATGCCGTCTAAGGAGCGCGCAGGATGAGCTAGAACGCAGATATTAGACGGATTGGGCGTTACGCCCCGCTTTTAGCTTCTCACCCGCGCAGATCTTATCAATGCCTTGCAGGCAGGACGGCAAGCTTATCTAAGTTTGAAACAGGTACGAGGTGGAAGGTAATTTACGGTTGCTAGAAGAGGAAGGGTTCTTTGCCGAAAGCCTCACGGGTTGAAAATTGAACGGCTGAAGTTCTGGCTGGGTTGCTTTGGGATTTCAGAGTCGGGAAGCAGAGCGGGAATTAAGTAATACAGTCATGTGCTGAGTAAGGTCAGGGTAAAAGCCTTTTCTCCTGAGATATCATATTATTTTTGGTACTTGAAATGTTTCCCTTTTTGGGGGCGTTCATTGGACAGGATGGTCGTAATGTTGAACTTTGCAAGGCCACCGAATGCAACAGTCACCAGGTAAGATCTCACATAAGGTAGGTAGACCAGCCTCAACGCCGGATACGGGTACAGTCACTGTGAAAACACATAGTATCCTGCGAGGATGGAGAAATGTCTAGAACCGCCGTGTCAGCGTTCTAGAAGTGAGACGGCGAGCACAAAATCATGTAACTCACATCTAGGATTACAGGTGCCAATCATAGTCTTTTAGGTTTCTCTGCAACTGAGACTTTCGTTTGCACTTAAGAAAGAAACCCCAAAGCTTACCTAGATATTCTAGTAGACGCCAGGGAATTGGCATATAGAGCAAGCGCAAGAGCGATCGATGTAAAGGGGTAGACTTTTAGGCGAAATCAAAGCCTGTAATTTACGGGGTACACGCTGAAATTTAGCGACTGGGCCTGCAGCTCTTGTCGCTCTAAGCCTTTCTTCGTATTCCTCCCTAGGTTGAAATCGCTATTCCAATATGACACTTTATGGCTCAAAATACGCTAATTCAAAGAGAATGTAACATTAATAGGTTCATATAAAACACGTCACGAGGGTTGCGCGTCCCTTGCATTAGGCACCAGCATACAGCGATTTCGCCAACCTCAACAATCGTTGGAAAGAGAGCTTCTCCAGCTTGCCGAACATAGACTACCTATCTATATCTTGCCGGGTCTGTTTGCTGGTCCGGCGACCCTGAGCGTAGGTATGAGGACTCTCTCCAGGCTTCTGCTACTCGGCTTTGTCCATCTTTGCGTGTCCTTAGATGAGCAAGAACCTCTAATCTCTACGCCCTTTCCACACTTGCTTATTAGAGTCGCTGCACTTGGCGACAGCTATTCCGCCGGCCTTGGCTCTGGGAAATTCCTGTCTGACTCAGAAGATGGCAGAGATAATGCATGCGCCCGTATGGACGGCTCATACCCATGGCTACTTTCCAAGCTAAATCTCTTCCACATTGGTCAGGGACATCTCCCGAGCTTTGTTTCGTGCTCTGGAAACCTGTTGGAGGATATTGATGGTCAGATTGAGAGACTTGGGGGCAAGAAGTTTGACATTATCACTCTGTCTATCAGTGGAAACGACTTCAAGTTTGGTCAAGTGGTTGTACGTGGCGATTTATTTGATACAATAGAAATGCTGACAATGTATCTATAGGTAGATTGTGTCTATCCATACAGGTTTCTCCCTGGATATGATCGATTTGAGAGAGCCTGTAATGGGACATTGACTGAGGCCGAAAAGGTGATCAAAAATCCAGCCAAGTGGAAAGAGTTCAGAAACACTATCAAGAGTATCGAATCCAAAGCTTTGGCACCTCACGGGAAAATATACATTACAGGGTATGCCAAGTTCTTTGCTCCGCCACGCGAATATGATGCCTGTGACAATACTTATTTCTTCCCAAGAAGAATACTTGCCGTCCTGCCGATGAAATATTCAACGCGCTCCAGAATGAATGATCTTGTCGGCTTGGTAAATGCCCAAATCGAGACTAATATTGCCGGCAGTCTTGAATCGGCGACCTTTGTCGACATAGATGACCACTTCACTGGCAGGCGGTTTTGCGAGCCAGAAAATGAAGATGACCTTATTGGCGCGGACAACCCAAATGTCTGGTTCAATGATCTTACCACTACACTCGAGGAGGACTCTACTTGGAACCCGGATTCTGTTAGTCGCTGTCCTGAGGAGGATCCGTGGGCGGCATGGGCACTCGATTTGCCGGAATCAGTTCAAAATGACACGGATTTGGTTCCACGAGGCATTGGGGATAACCTTCAACGTGCTTCTTCCTTTCATCCCAAGAAGGCTGCTCATATTGCGACGGCAATCAAAGTGGCAAATATGATCTTCATCGATTTTGCTGGGTAAGTACAGTGATGGATTCCAGCGTTCCATATTCGATAGCTAATTCCATCCTTGTTTAGACACCACCTACCCCAATGAAGATAACAATACCAATTTACGTGATGAGGCAACTCAATTGCGTGCAATCTTTGGATTTCTCGACGCATATGCTATTGTTATCAGCACTTCATAAATCTGGACTTGTTTAAGTTGGAGTAGAGACGACCGACAATCCCTGCAGAGTAGGCTCCTTGATGATGGATTTCCGAGAGCAATTCGTAGGAAGAATGAGATTTCAAGCAAAGGTTCGATGCTCGTATACTCCTACTGATGGATGACTGACTGGGAAGGGGATATATTGGGTCTAATGGCATTGGAGCTCCCGATGTTGATTGCTGAATCCCTGCATGACTTGCCAGTTTTGGATACACCCCTGGCCTGAAGGCCTTTGGTTCTTTGAAATGAGGCGAGACTAATTAAGAACGTATACATATTACGCCTCTTTCACGATTGACTAGCATAGGGCTTCGCGGCCTTTTATGTAAAGGATTGCCAATTATAAACACTTGAATTCTATATCACTAGTATCATTATATTTCTCTAAGCTAGATATAAAAATCGGCACTTACTATTAGTGACTTTTGATGTCCTACACTACTTTGCATTTTCTAACTTGGTACCGCTTCTGCCCATCTACCGTGAGACTTCTTCGAGTAGAGTAGCAACTTTTTGTGGAGAAGACCGTAAAACACCATAGAAGTTGAGTGAAATATCCTAGAAAGTTTTAATGCAATTGCCCAATTTACTACGGCCCGACTTGAGGCGAGTTACATTTTATACAAGTGCATACCTATCCCCTAAGGGTTTTGCAGTCCTTGTTGTGAAGGAAACAGAAACGATGGCTCGGGACAGATAAAAGGGGGAGGGGTTATCACACGCTAGCTGACTAGGCTGGTCGCCATCCTCACCGCCTGGCAGAATTCAAAAAAGCTTCGAACAAAACCTCAAAAACCAGAACTTCATTCTCAATCATACAACCTCCCACCACAATACAAAATGCCCAAACAAAAAGCGCCCAAAGGCGCCTCCTCCGAAGATGTCTCTGATCCTCGATTCTCAAATTTCACCACCGATCCACGATTCCGGCTCCCGTCGAAAAAGCACACGCGCACAACAATTGATAAACGTTTCTCGCGCATGCTGAAGGATGACGATTTTGCGAACACGGCTAAGGTCGATCGGTATGGACGGAAGCTGAGTAGTGAGGGCAAGAAGAAGGCCCTGGAACGATTATACGTTCCTGATGAGTCAGATGGGGAGGACGAGGACAAGGCCGAGGTCGAGATCGAAGAGGACGATGTTGTGGAGAAGGAATTGAGGACTGTGGATGCGGGGTACGATCCTGCTCGTGGAGGGGGATTCTCGTCTTCGTCTGAGGATGAAGATGATGATGACGAGGATGGAGGCGTGGAGATCGAGGAGGAGGCGACATTCCCGGATATGCAGGGTGAGCAGGCGACTGTTGAGATGGGCGAGGTCTCGGAGCGCATTGCGGTTGTGAATATGGATTGGGATAATGTACGGTCTGGGGATTTGATGGCTGTCTTTTCCAGCTTTGTGAAGCCTGGTGGCAAGATACATAAGGTTTCCGTATACCCCAGCGAATTTGGCAAGGAGAGGATGGAGCGGGAAGAGTTAGAAGGGCCACCAAAAGAGATTTTCATGCGCAAGGCAGATGAGGATGATTCGGAATCGGAGCCGGATTCAGAAGATAGCGAAGAGGATGAGAAGATCAAGAAGGATTTGCTGAAAGAGGATGATGGAAAAGACTTCGACGACGGAGCCCTCCGTCAATACCAACTCGAGCGGTTACGCTATTTCTACGCAGTAGTCGTCTGTTCCGACGTCTCCACCGCACAGAACATCTACGAAGCAACAGACGGCACCGAGTACCTCTCGTCAGCCAACTTCTTCGACCTACGCTTCATCCCCGACGGCACTACCTTCGACGATAAACCGCGCGATGAATGCACCAGTGTACCAGAAGACTACCGACCTACAGAATTCGTCACAGACGCGTTGCAGCACTCCAAGGTAAAGCTCACGTGGGACATGGCCCCGGAAGAAGCGACGCGAAAAGACGCCATCAACCGCGCCTTCAGCGGGAGCAGAGCAGAGATCGGCGAGAACGATCTACGAGCGTACCTAGGAAGTGATTCAGAATCCGAGGCCGAAGAGCCAGGGCCAGAGGCAGAGTCAGAGGCAGAATCAGACCACGGGGCAGAACCCAAGCTCAGCAAGAAAGACCTACAACGGCAAAAAATGCGCGCTGCTCTCGGTCTAGCCGACGAGCCCGCCCCCTCGAGCAAGAAATCAAAAGCAGGCCCCGTAGGCGACATGGAGATAACCTTCACGGCCGGCCTATCCGCCTCGACAGACACGACGGGCGTCTTCTCCAACAATCCCATCACGACCGAAACGACGGCCGAGGCGTACGTGCGGAAAGAAAAAGAGCGCAAGGCGCGCCGCAAAGAGAAGTCCAAAGCCAAGCGCGAAGGACGGGACCCCGACGCTTCTCCACCTCCAGAGCCCGAAGACCAGACGGCCGAGACGGAGAACCTCGGATTCGACGACCCGTTCTTCAACACCGAAGAAGTGTCCAAAGCCTCAGCCTCAAAGACCCACCGGAAAGCCGACCGTCTAGCAAAGCGAGACGCGAAAGCCGCAGCAGCAGCTGTGTCGGCGGCGGAGAAGGCAAAGCTTTCGCTGCTCATGGAGGACGCGAGCACGGACGCGCCCACGAATCTCGACCACTTTGACATCAACGAGATCGCGCGGGCCGAGAAGAAGGCGGCGAAGAAGCGCAAGGATAGAGGGGAGAGTAAGAGGGGTGGGTTGCAGTCGGGCTTCGAGATGGATGTTGGTGATGAGCGGTTCGCGGGACGGTTGTTTGGGAATCACGAGTTTGCTATTGATCCTAGTAATCCGAAGTTCAAGGGGACGGAGGGGATGAAGGCGCTGCTGGAGGAGGGGAGGAGGAAGAGGGATAGGGGTGAGGGTGGGGGGCGGGGATGGGGTAGTTGTTGAGCGGAGGGAGAGGAAGAGGAAGGGTGGAGATGAGCAGAAGGAGGGTCTCAGTAGTCTTGTGGAGAGTGTAAAGAAGAAAGCCAAACGCTGAGTAGCTCGAAAACAATAAGCAAATGTTTATCTATACTCCCCCCCCCCCTTGGCGTGATTCACGGTCGGGCCTTGTGAAGTAAATAGATTTTCCTGTAAATGAAATCAAGTACAATCCCACCGCATAAAACCCGCCCCTTTTTGTCCCACGCTTGCCCTTTTAGCAACCCCTATAGACAATTGTCCCTTTTGTCCACCACCTGCCCATGATATGCGGCAATAACGATATGAGTAAAGAGGATACGATGCCAATGGGTACAACCGTAAGCAAAAAGAAAGAAAAAAAGCCATAATGTCCCACTCCCAGCAAAACAATGAATCTCCTCTACCCTACCATCTATCCAGCCATCCCTTTCCAACCCCTCACCCCTAATCAAGATCCATACCTTCACTAGCCCCACCACCACCACTACTACTACCATCATCATAATCAGCCTCCACGCCCATAATCACCCCATCACCACTCGTGCGCAAGAACCCAAACAGGTTAGCCAACTCCATGAGACTGAGGCCCTTGCTCTGGTCACCCTTCGTGATGGCCTTTTCTAGATCTCGTAGTTTGTGTATCTGCATGGTGAGGAGACGCATATCGACGCTGTTTTTAACTACGATGCGCGTCATGTACGTCTCTTTGATTTGCCCGATCCGGAAGATGCGACCGAATGCTTGTTGCTCGACGGCGTGGTTCCACCACAGGTCTAAAGAAATGCAGCGGTTGGCCCAGGGGAAGTTGAGGCTGTGGGTGGGGGGAGAGAGAATTAGTGCTGCTCGGATAATGTGCCACGCTAAGTGAGACATTTAGGAATAGGGGGGCAGGAAATTAGTGTGTGAGAGAGGACTTACCCTACACCACCACATTTCAGCCCAGAAACCAGGATCTTGATATCGGAGTCATCTCTGAACATCTTCGTAGCCTTGGTCCGGTGTTCGAGAGAGCAATCACCACTCAGGTAAAGGAAACCCCAGCCTTCAGAGGCACACATGCGACCTATGATGGAGGCTAGGAGGCGAAACTGGACGTAGATGACTACCTGTGGGGGCGGTATTAGCGAAGGGATCAACGAGAATGGGGTCGGATGAAATTGTAGTTAAAAAAGAAGAATGTTCCACTGGAGGTGGGACATTACACATGCCTACCTTATCTAACGGCGCCTCTTCAAAACCCTTCAGCAGTGTAGACTTCAGAGCAGCAGTCTTGGCGGAAGGAGTAAGAGGGAATTCAGGGTCGACGTCGCTCTTGTACAGCCAAACACTCTCAACAGCGGGCTCGAAGTTCAGGGCATCACGACCCTTGCTATTTGGCGGAAGCACACGCTTCTTACCCTTGCGGCCATCGTCGTCGTCGCTGGCGATCTCGCGGGGTTTCGCTTCAGTGAATATTTGATTGCAGGAGGGGCAGGTTGTGAACTATTGTTTCACACCCAGTCAGGTATTGTTAGAAGCTCGTTCGGGGGAGGATGAACTTACTTCATCATCACCACCAGCCGCAACATCATGCAAATATGCCTCAAGACAATCCCTACAGAACAGATGTCCACACTATCCACATGCAAGTCAGCAACAATCACCCACTGCGAGTGGAACACTCACATCAGTCTCCATTGGTGCATCGGGCACATCACTACAAACGCCACAATTGACCCTCTGGTGTAGCTCAGACTCACTGAGCCCACTGAACGCCTTCTGCATATCGAACTTCTTGCCATAATTCCCCCGTCCAAACGGCAATAAAGGTCCGAGTTCCTCACCATTTGCGGCCGCATTGGCTCTGATTTCTTCTGATTCCTGAACCCAGACCTTAGTTTGCTCGTAGAACGGTTTAGCTCCGCGAACTTTAAGTTTTTCAAACTTATCCTTTAGTTCGTCAACGTCCTCGAGGGTCCAGGCTTCTTTGATGGTGCGTTCAAGCATGAAGGGGTGGGAGGTACATTGGCGGAGACGCAGAAGCTGAACCATAAAGATGCTATAGTTGCGGCGGGCTTCACCTACTTCGAAATAGCGGTTGAGGTTAGCGCGAAATCTATTCTCGGTAATCCGATAGATAATCTGCTCCTCAGGAGAAAAGTTGATGTAGAGAACGACAGGATGCGGCTCTGGGAGTACGATAATAGGACGGTTCATAATGGTCGTGCTCATTGTGCGACGCATCATGGTGTAGCTGAGCAAGGTAGCAATACGCTTCTGCGATTCATCTGATTTAGGGTCACAGAAATACTTTTGAAAGGTCTGAATATCAATAGAATAGTGAGCCCTCAGGAAGCGAAGGTATGGGAAGAGCCTATTGGAAGTCAGCTACAGGCAAAGGTCCCAGATGAGAACTTACTCTTCAAGACGATTAAGCAATGGAGTACCAGTTAGGCACCACCGGTAGACGGACTTGAGGTTCTGACATGCTAGAGAGGTTCTCGTAGCATTGTTCTTAATTGCATGGGCCTCGTCTAGTACAATCCGGTACCAGCCGACCTTGTGCAAATCACCAACGTGCTGCATAGCTTGCATCCACCAGTTTCGCCAGCCAATTGTCTCAATAATCAACCGTTCCTTTTTATCAGGAAAAGGAAACTGTCGCATCACCTCGTTATAAGTAGTAACGACGATATCCATATCTTCCAAGATAGCCTTGGAGATTTGCGAACTGGTCTTGTATCTTATAACCTTTTTAAACAATCCTGGTTCAGTGTGGAACTCGATCTCTTCCATCCATTGGTCAAGTACAGCAGCTGGGACGACGATCAAAGTGGCCTTTCTATCTTGCTTCAAGTCAAGGGCGGAGGGAGGGTTACCGACCATGCAGGCGAGTGTTTGAACGGTCTTTCCTAGACCCATACTATCAGCAAGTAACCCGCCGTGTGGAGGCTCAGCGCTAAGCTCGCGACTGATCATCCATTGAGCCCCCAGAAGCTGATGGTGGTACAGAGGCGATGTCATGCCCTTGATCAACCACTTGCCATTAACAGCTCGTACCTTCGCATACCCAAACGATTTGGACGCTACCTGCAACTTCTTCTTGTCATCTCTAATAGTATTCTTATTTCCTCCAGAAGGGATATTGGCGAACAGCTTTTGAAACTGTGAGGACTTGCGTTGTTGACCTTCAATAGCAACTTCTGGGTCAACATCAAAGGCAGGATTATTGATTCGGTCGTTGATAGGATCATTGCGGAACAAATCTTCAAGAATAATCCGACCGGCAGGATCCTGGCCACTGCTACGATCAAATCCGTTTACAGGTCGAAGAAGAGACTCGGAACGGGTCGTGACATTTGGTCTATTCGCAGCCTTGTCGTTCTTAGCAGCCTTGCCCTTACCTTTTGGCTTGGCCGCTACCTTCTTTCCACCGTTCTTAGCAGCTGGTGCCCTCTTGCCCTTCTGAGCCTTGGCACGATCTTGTTCACGCTTTGCATCCTCTTGGGCGCGGAACTCTCGAGCATTGGCGGGTCTCTTGCCAGTTGCCTTCTTCCGTGGTTTGCCTTTGCTCGGTTTGGGATTTCCAGAGTCATCCAATCCATTGCTACCGTTATATTCATGCAGCATTTGGCGAAAACCTGGATCCTCGGGATCATCTCCAGTTTGGAGGGTGCTCTTCGTTGGCCTCTCTCTAATGTGACGACCAACAACTTCTTCTCTTTCTTCGGGAACGAATAAGCTGTCTTCGTCCTCTTCATCCTGTTGATCCAGAGCATGAGCAACAGCTCGCTTGACACGATCCTTGCTCTCGATTCTCCTCTTAAGATTATACAGTTCAAACTTCTCATCTTGGGTGATTTTGCTATTCTTCTGTCTCATCTGAAGAGAATCTCTAATCGTCACCAAATTCTCGTACTCTTCGTCACGACCTGTATCTTCCTCATCCATCCAACTAAGATCAGTCTCGTCCGCGTCTCCCATTGCAGCCTTAGTATTCTCGTGCTCATCTGCTATCTGAACAAACGATGGTCGCTTTCGATTACTGCTTTCTGCCTCGACGGACTTACGTGCACCGAACATGCTTGCTTTGGTCGCATCCTTCTTCCGGAATGAACCCTGTATCATTAACTTCTGAGCAGCCATCATTTGCTGCATCTGTTGAATGGTAAGTGGGTTGGCAGCAGGTGTAGGGAGGCGAATTGTAGCCCTGTCTGATGGTTCTTGTTTAACGGTAACGGGTTTCTCGAGTACAGTGGAGAATTGTTTTTGAGACCATCTCCTTTGCACCTTTATGGGTGCATCTTTTGCATTGATCATTACAATGTCATCATCTTCGATTGTAAGTTGCTCAACCTGGGTGCCCAAATTATCATCTTCAGAGGAAAATGGAGATGCGGATGGGGATGGGGTAGGGGATGCACGGTCGTTGTGGTCTTCAATCGTAATTGAGGGAGCTGGCTTAGGCGTAGGATCAATCCGGGCTGCAGACGAGTGAATAGAGGCATTGCGACGTGAATTAACACCAAAAGGCTGTTCGAGTGGAGCGTCTGCATACAGGGAACCAAAATCAATTGGACTAGCAAGCGCGCGCAGGTGTAGTGAGTTGCCACCTCTAGTCGGTTCCGGTGTGAAGTGCTCCTCACCTGCGACTTCTTCGAGCCCATTCGCCGAAGGTGCGTATTGAATTTCTGAAAGGAACAAACCTTCAGAATCTTCACGTTTTGGCTCTGGAGTAGGCATGCTTGGTCCATGCTGCTGAAGAGGGAATTTGGCAGGTACTTGTGAGGGCGAGTTTGGGGTCGAAGCGTGGTCGTGTTGGGGTGGTGGAGGGGGCGAATTCATGCCGCTCATAGAATGGTCAGCAGCTTGTTGGCTTCTGTCGGCCTGGTCAGAATCGATGGATTTTTGAAAGTCAAAGGTATCCACAGGGAGATACATTTTGATTCAGGAATTGTTATGCTTTAGTGGAAGAATGAGGCTGGGTGATATTTTGAATTTGGTGGAGAAGGTTTGAAGAACAGTCGAAGAGGACTTGAAGCGGGATGCTGGATAATATTCGAGGATTGGGTGTAATTGCTGATGTGAACAATGTTCCTAGTTGATAGGAAGTCGAAGGTGATAAGAGTAGATGGGTAAAGCTCAGACGAGATTGAGATCAAGTATTATTGTGAAGATGTTGGGGTGTTAGTAGATTCCTGATCGTGACTGAGAGAATGGAGGCCTTAGATACGGCTGCCAGATGTGTTTCGCACGTTGCTGAAAGGACCCTGGGATGTTAGTCAAGTCTTAAAAGGGACCAAGAAAACGAGACCTGATAACTCTGGAAGTAAAAACTTGAAGGTCGAAGTGTCGATTCACTTGTCGACCTCAAGCTAGTGTCAATAATGAACGCTCGCAGTCAAGGACTTGGATTCCCGGTTGATTTCAAGCACGAATTGAAAAGAATACTCCTTGCGATATGAGGAGAAATCAATTAAGATCAAGAATAAAGGATTGTAAAAATGAAAGTGTTATCGATTCACTCTCAAACTCTTTAAATTCGCGTTGAGGATGACCGCTGTTGAAGAGAGAATTCAATGGCTCGCTCGAAGTTGCTTTTGAAGATGTCGTAGAGCGAAAGAGCAGTTAAGACAGATGAAGGATTGGGAGGTAGCGCTGTGTCCAAAGAACACTCACGCGATTCCTCGAGATTGCAAAGGAAAGGACAGCATAGAGCTGCTGGATGTTCAAGAGAGAAGATGCCGTAGATCAAACGAGTTCGATGAGCAAAGAAGAGGAAGGATTGAGAGCAAGAGAGTGAAGATGTCGTTCGAGAGCAAAAGAGGCCAGCAAGGAAAGAGCAATGGCCGAGGAAGGTCGTAGATAAGGTAGTGCTGTTTCTCTCTTCCTGTCACTCCCTCCAGAACAAGTAAGAACGAACGCCGTTATCCTTCAAATCCACCCCTCCCTCCTTCCCTCTCATCACCCAGAATCATAATGCAGTGCCGTGTCGTGCCGTGTGGTGGTAAACTCGTGTCTCATTCTGTGGCCAAGAACACACATACACACACACACACCTTGCGTACCTGATTATATCTTTCCCCCATTCTAAATTCCACACCCACAACCACAACCACAAACATAACCCCCCACCCCCACAATCACACACACGCGCAGGCATAGATAGCACCCGCATAAGCGCAACAAAGAATTTGCATTGGATTAATTTCTTCCTAATCTGTATTATGTATTTTCTTTTCTTTCCCTCATGTATCTATCCACTCAAAAGAAAACCACAGATAGGTAGATTATTCAAAGGGTAATACCTCACCACCCCATTCGATCCCATCCCAAACTCCAGCCAGCCTTACGGTCTTGTTTCTTGATGATTGGCAATACTACATACATGATAAGGAAAAACGAGGTGCGTGCGGATCGCAAGAGGAGATATATACAAAGGAGCAAAGGTTGGGGTATTTGAAAATGGACATGGATTGTCGGGTGTTGAAGATTAGGATTGAGAGATCCGGTGATGAAGGTTGAGAGTCGAGCCGCTGGCCGACGGTGAATGGAAGTATAATGTGTTGTGTTGAAGGTCGAACGCCATAGGCGTGGTGTATTTCAGTTGGTTGGAGCTGGTCATAAAAGCGGCACTCATTATCCCAGCTTTAGTGCACCGCCTCACATATATAAACTGGTGCCGCTTTCATCCACCACAAGGCTGTATTCTTGGGGATTCTTGGCTGAACACAGGATTTCGTACTTGGCTCGAATATGCAGCTTATCTTGAATTCTCTCGCCGGTGACGACGAATTATGATGCTGAAACTTCTGGGTAGTACCAGGCACACACGGCAATAATTCTTGAAAAGTCAGCAACAGCAGTTTAACGGGAAAAACGTAGTACTCACAAATATAGACATTGCAAGAGCATGCCCTCAAGCCAATGACTGCGGCCATCCGCGATGAGGTAATTGACGAGTAGAACTGCGACAAAGAGTACAGCAACTTGGAAGCCATCGAAGTTCAAGTTCATATCATCCTTGCCCATGATCCATCCAATCACAACAACCAATGGCAGTACCAATAAGGCAATCTGCATACTGGAGCCAACGGCAACACCAATAGCAAGATCCATCTTGTCCTTAACAGCCACTAGATCATAGGGGAGTTAGTAATTTCCTATTCAAGAAGGTTTCGGGAGTAGAAGGAGCTTATGTTTCCAGTTTGGGAAGTGTGTAAGGAGTAGTTGGAGTAATGAGGCGAAACATGCTAGAACGGTAAAAAAGTGAAAAAAATTTACCAGTAACTGCTGTCGCGTGTTCGGCGGCGTTTCCAACGATGGGAAGCAGGATAAGACCAACAAATTCGACTGAGATTGAACCACTCTTGGTGACAGAATCGATACCATCAACCATAAACTCGGCACAAAGTCCAATGATAGCAGTAGCACCAGCCAAAGTAGCCCATGCAACAGCGATATGAAGTTGAGGCTCCTCAGGTTCGTCCGGAGTTTCTTCGTAGGCGTTGGGGAGAATCAGCTCATCATTTGGTGGTCTGTCAACGACATTTGCTCTGCCAGGACCAGCGCTAACGCCACCTGCTTTAGCGAGACCCTTAAAAACGGCCCCGTCAGGCAACGCGTTCTTGCGTGGCTTCTTTGCAACCTTTTGACTCTCCTTGTTAAAATCTTCGGAATGCGTCTTTAGTTGGAAGAAAAGGTAGCATCCGTAGACGACAAGGAGGATCACGGACGTTCCACGAGAAAGAGCTGCGACTTTAACAACTGGGGCTACTGTTTCACCAGGCCAGCCAAACTGGGCGAAGCAAGTTGGAATGATGATGCTGCCAATAGCAAGAGCCAATAAACTGGCAGCGGTCTGGGCAACGGTCTGATTGAAGTATTGTTCTTGTCTTCGAAGTCCACCGAAGAAGAAACACATGCCCAGTACAAGTAGCAAGTTGGAGAGCATACTGCCAATCAGAGATGTTTGGACAACGGTAATATTGTCTTTTGCCAGGGCAATAACTGCAACGATGATTTCGACGGCATTACTGGTTTGATTAGCGGGCAATTATAGACAGAGCATGAAGACTGGCGAGCTTACCCAAATGAGGCATTTAATAGACCACCTAAACTCTCACCAACATGAAGAGCAATTTCTTCCGTAGCAAAGCTTAGCATGGCTGCTAGAGGGATAATGGCAATAAAATTGACACAAAAGATGACTTTCCCATCTAGATGCGCATAGTTGCATGCAATACCTGCAGGGGCAGCCAGCAGCAAGATGTTGATCCAGGAATTAAAGATGGTCGCCTGCAACTGATTTCTGAGCGTGAACGGCTTGTGCTTCAAGATTTTCCCCATGTACCATGGTCGCTTTTTGGGTACATCCTCCTCTTCATCTGAATTCGAGGCGCCTTTATTCCTTTTGAAGAATCCCCCTACGAATCGTCGGCGAGCCTTTTCTTCGGCACTGGGTGTGCGCGTCGCTGTTTTTTCTAATGTAGTTCCCGTGGTAGTACTTTCTGGATCGCTGGATCGCGCGGCGCCTGAGGGTTTTGTCATGTGAAACTCTTCATTTTTTGAAGTTGCCCGGACATCATCTCCACCATTCAGCCCCGACGAGCGTCCTACAGGTTCTGTTTGTACATTTGATAACGAGGTCTGGTCTTCGGCGCCATTCGCAGATTCGAGATCATTGTTGTTGTGCCATGTACTGGATCTTCCAGTCTTTCGGAAAGGGTTCATAGAATCGCCATACCAAGCTTCTTTCCTAGCCTGGCGCTTGATGGAGTCTATTCGGTACATAGTAAGTTCAAGGCCACGAATTGGAGTGTGGAGTGGAGTGGAGGAGTCAAAGATAGCAGAAGGTCAGGGATTGCGCAGAGAAATCGGATTACTGACGCATTTGAAACCCCGTCATGATTGTTGTGATTGCGTAAATGTGTATGTGAATGTGCGACGCAAGGGAGGATATTGGTGGGTCTCGTTGATTTGCGCCTAAAATGAGGCAGCCTGGTGGGTGGGTAGTATTGACGGGGCGTAAGACTGGTTGGGTTGGTTGCTACAGTAGTGCCAAGGCCAAGAAAAGGAAGGGATAGTAAAAAGGTCGGGTTTGTGGTTTTGCGACGAACAATTGCTGCTATCTATCAATTGCAGATATCCTGCAAATGCCCCTCGTTTTGTGTAAGGTCGGGTACCTTATGTAGGCCGGTATTTGTGTATATGTCGCGGCCTTTTTATCACAGCCTCGTGCAGGTTGCAAGGAAACAGTGGGATTCGCCTCACTTTGGGGGCGAAGTGTAGTGTGGAGCCGTAAGAAAGGAAAAGAGCCTGTCGAGAAGCCTCGTGTGTGTGCCTGAGGGTGAACTGAACTGCGCCTCAGCTTATTTGGTAGGTAGGTATTGTGGCTCGTAAGGCGTATGGAATAATTAATTATATCGATGCCAGTGTCGTGATGTTTTTGATTTGGAAGAGAAATGAGAGGAGCACGAGAGGGAGGGAGGGAGGGAGGATGAAGCACGCTCTGGGTCTCTTGTAAGATTAAAGGTATCCTTGATTTAATTTGCTTGGCAAAACAATCACTGCCACGACGACCGTCACCGTCATTTACTGAATTAGGGCCCAGCCCAACCGCGTACAGTAGCCAGTAAACGATGCTCTTTCGTATGAGTGAGTTATATAATTATCTGGCTATTTCTCTCAAGAAGAGGTACAGTAGAGTAGACTCTCCCTCTCTCTCTATACCATGCTGGGGTCTTTTCTTGGTCTCCCTCCTGCAGTTAGAATCTTATCTTATAGACCAAGGGAAAGGTACACTCTGCGAACTGCAACTTATTGAACTACTGACTGTATCGCGAGTCGTCATCTTATGCCGCAGTCTCATGATTCCACTTCTCTTCTGCTCTTGTTCCTTTCAATCCATTATAATTCCTCACCATTCCATTATACACGCGTCGTCTCTCAACAGGATATTGTGTTTGATTCCAACTCTTGACCTGACTCAGGAACAGTTGGCCATCCATCCATGCCCTCCCTGGACTCCATGACGAGGTCCAGAAGGCTCCTCCCGCATTAGACCTATCCGACAAGCTGATGCATTTGCGACAACACATACTATGAGAGACTACTGCTCTGTACAGCGAACATCACATCAAATCGCATGTACCTCACCAGTAATTGGCTCTTTTACTCTCTCTCAAGGCCAGAAATCAGGTCTACCATTGTGGCTGAGCTGTGGAGTACAGGCGCCCTTTCAAACTCACCCCCGAGATTCGTACCACTTGCCACCAGTCACGTGTGAGATCTCCCCACCAGCCATGCGGGTGGTGCGAAGTAGTGACACCTTTTTGTTGAGATGTGGTCAGAGTTGGCAATCAAGCATAGCATGGATTTCTCTTCCATGGTTGTTTGATCTAGATACTCACGTGATGTACCCCCTTGTCAAGCCTATCAACTAGCAAACCGGCACCCAATACCTATGGCAGGTTTTAAATCTGCCACGTGCTTGTAATCTCAAAAGATCGAAATCATTATGGCCTTGAACCTTTCGCCAACGAGGTCGGCCGTCTCATTCGTCCCTATATAGTACGCGGGATAGTCACATCGACAGTACCAGCCATAGTAAAGCGGAAATAACCAAACGAGCTTATACGCACTTTCTAAAAAGAATGTATTTTTGAGATTTTATTATAGTTCTACTTATTTTATAATTGTAGGAAAACTACCTCGTATATGTCTGGTCTGGGTCGTTAGTGCAGTGCTCTTGCCTTATCGAAATAGTACCTATACCTATCGTATAATCCACTAGTCCCAGAAAGGTAAGAGGGAACTACGTACAACATCCCAATAAAATAGCAGGATCTCAACCAAGACTTCTACCAATCAAACTCCTGATAACAACTCTGTGCTCTTGTTCTTGGCTTGTTTTGGCTTTTGAGCTCTGTATTATGTACTGGCTGATATATAGCATACTTTGAAGGTACCTCCCTATGTATTTATTACACTTGATCTTATATCGGGTTGTTTATGCTCCTTCTGGCTTCATATCTGATAACATAATGCATTTACATACTATTGCAAGTACAGTACAGCCTGAAACTGCCGATGTTAGATTTTGGATGCTCGGATTGCCAAGGGATTCTTGTATATATCTTCTTGTGATGTCGTGTTGGGCCCAGCATGCGTTTCCATCTGATCCACAAAGCCATCCCATTTATCTTGAGAAACAATGGGGGCTGTCACATATGGTGCAGCACCAGTCTGCTCTAGTAGCTGCTTTAAATGCGGCACAAGGGCACTGATGCAGCGATCCTCCTTCCGCAGAATCGCAACTCGTTTCATTCCAAGATTCTCAACAAACCAACTTCTGTCCCGCATCATCACTCCTGCCTCGTATAGAGCAATCAGGTCCGGATGACAGTCTGCCGCCACAGCCGCTTCATATGCCATACGGCATCCAATAGCTTCAATAAGGGGTTGACAGAGGGGTAGTACAAGTCGATTGAATTCGTCGCTTCGATGTTGCCCCTTAGTTTCTCTCAGCAGGCCCTGGGCTTCTTTGAATAGCCCCGCTTCATAAAGAGCCAACAAACAACTTGGATCTCGTGGCTTTGGCATCTCGTAGCGTCCTATTAGGAGCTCAGAGGCAAGTCCTACAAAAGTTTAGTACTGATTCCAGATCACAAAACGGGATGAGGCTTACGAATACAAAGAACTAGAATATCCCCCTCTGCAATATTTATTCCTCTGGCTTCTAGTTGTAACCCAATAATCTGGTTGTGCTTGAATAAACCCTGCGCACCGCATCTTTCCGAGAGTTGAAATAAACGTGTTTGTGTCGCAGGTCCGATGGCAGCTTTAAAGCAGGTTCCAAGAGCGTGTTGTACCGCAGGATTCTTTTCCGCTACGAACTTGTTTGTAGCCTCGTCAGCATATGCCTCAAATATTGCGCTCTCTGCCAGGGCGTGCAAAATCGAGACGTGTTGTGTGCGGAAATGGATGATGGAACTTCTTCTACCATCGGGCCCGCCTACTGTCCGTCGAAAGCTGTAAGTCCCTGCAATATAAGCAGCCATCTTCAGAACGGGGATGTTTAGAATTGTTAGAGCAAGAGTGCCAATGCCCACACGCCCTATGCTAGCCATGAATGAAGTTCTCATGTTCGGGGCCTTGCTCAGCGTGCCGAGAAGCGCGAGGGATGGGAGCCGAACATGATCAAATGTTGTTATCGAATGGCCTGCAATTTTCGACCCAGAACGCTTCGGAATCAACCTGACCAGCCCATCAGCGATTTCCTACGTCCAAAGGAAGTATAAGCTCACTTTGCTGTTATCCCAGAACACATGCTATGACCGTCATTCAGCTTTACAACAAACGGGCGTGGGCCACGGTCTTCTCCTTCTGCGAGCAAGCGTGCAAATACGATTCCCACTCGTTCAAACCCCTCTTGCGGAGTTGTCATCGGCATGTACCTATACTTGGTTAGAGATATCTCTCTCTTCGGTAGGTTTGCATACTTTGCAGCATCTTTAGTGGGTGAATGCAAGTCAAACTCTCCGTTGGCCAACAATGTCGCCGTCGTTTCGAGATTTCGAGCATCGAGTCCATGGCCAACTTCAGTCAATAGGTATTGAGCGCTATAAAGCCAATCAGTTCTCATGTAAAGGCTTCTCATAATGGACAATTTACGATGTCTTGAATTCGAGAATGTTGTTCATAAGGGGAACGAGATCCGGTCTGTCGAGAATAAAAGGGGCAAGAGTTCCTGCTGCAAGATTGTACTGGATGAACACAAGGGTACCAGCTGCGGCATCTTTGGTCCATATCATATCCCTGTACAGAAGCCAGAATTTTGGTTTCAAATAAAGAATATCCTCAAGTGTTTGGGCTGGGCACCAGGTCAGTCGCCGAAATTAGGAGGGAGCTGAGGCAATGGAGAACTTGCCATAATTCTGAGAAAAGACACGAGCGCGCTGGTAAGAAAGTTGAAGCTGTTCTCGCTCATTCAGGCGATCATAATCTTGGGAGAATACATCTAGGCTTAGGAGATCCTGACTTGGATAGGTCGAAGGAGTTTGGAAACGGGTCTCGAATTCGGCGTGAGCCATGTTATTGTTGGGAATGAATGGGGGAATCAAGTCCTGGGTCGATTGGTAAGAACCAAAATTGGCCTGGGAATAGTTTAGGATTTGGTCTGAAAGCTGGAAAGCTGGAGGCGGGCGTTCTTTTTATAATTCAAGGGGAAATCAATAAACGTATTAGGATGTGGGAACTAAGCAGTGGAAGTAAAGAGGGCATAAATTGATCAAGGAAAGAAAGCTCTGCTTATATCTCTCCCTTGTCCGCTTAGCCTCTTTAAGGCTAGAGTTACTCCTCACCGCCCGTAGCAGTAAGCGGCAGTACTATATACTAAGCATAATCTAACAAAACGGAGTGTTCCATGTCGGCAATAGGCTTGGCGCTTTACTTAGGACCTTTCGTGGATAACACGAAGACGACTTGCAGCAAAACGAGTTGAAAGCCGTATTTGGAAGGAACTTATGCATAACAAGACCAACTTTTAAACGAGTCTCGTAATATGACAGAAGAATGCGAGTTTAAAAGCAAGGAGTGGACCAGGGCTTCGTAAATAAGGCCATAGAAGGCTTGCGAAATGATACACACTATTGAACAACAACCTCAAATCCGTCCTACAACATCGTCTTCAGCTGCATCAGCGTCACTTCAAGCGCGCTCTTCCCACCCACAATCCATCTTCATCAGCTAGCATTCAAGCCACTTAAATGGGTGCGATGGCTCTTAGCTAGCGCGCTCTCACTCACATAGAGGCTCCCGGGAAGCATCACTGGCGCATTCGTCAGCTCGATCGAGAAAGCGCTAGCTAGAAGCTGTGTCTGCCAATACAAAAAGTCCCGAAAATGACGAGTCAATAGAAACCTATTCCGCTACACCGCAGGAAATGTGCACGAGTGGTGTCACTCAAAAGTGCTGATTAGGCCTAGTGCTGATTTTATCACAGTAAAAGTATCCAACCAGTGTGATAAGCTGGGCAAGTTCTTCTAACAAGCTACTTAGTACAAGGAGTGCTACCGAAGAAAAAACTCGACATCTCGGCAATATCACAAACTTTCGATTGGATGGTAGCTCCGACAGTGACAGACATGATGGAATCATGCTGAAGGTCTGGATATTATGCACACCTAGATCTCCATGAATAAGACCTCGCACTGTAAAGAAAACTTATCACATACTCCAACGTGGTGATATGCGGTATATCGAAGGTAGACCTGAGTCATTTCGTCAATTTAAACACTGGAGACTTATTTCGACAGAGGGCCAAGGGGCAAGTGCTAAATGCATTATTGCAATTGAGGAGAGAAACAGAGATGCCTTGGCGACTAAGGAGAGAAAGGCGGAATCAAAGGCTAGAAGCTCCTAATATATACAAAACAGGGCGCTACTACCTTCCGTCGTGTTTGCACGCCTGTAACAGCAGATGATTCCAGAGTTTGCTTTCAAAGTAGCCCGCCAGCTGCGGCGACACGGCGTCGGTAAAGAACCGGAAAAGCCCCCATTACACTAACTCCAACTAACTAACTAATATTAAAAGCTGAAACTGATGAGGTGACTTAATGACCAGTCTGACCTAAACACCCAAAGCAGATCTTCTTCCTGCCCGATCAACCTTCCCAATTGCTTCCACCCTTACTCCCAACGCCTCCATCTCACTGATGTTCAAGACTCCTCTACCGTCAAACACCCACTTAGGCTTTTGAAGATTGTATGCAATTTTAGCCCAGTCCAGTCTGTCGTTCTTCTCTTCCTTCCCGTCAAGCGGAACCAAATTTTGCTCTAAGCAGTATTGGCATCCTGGCTCGCATTCAGGTTGGGCTACAAACCTCTGCAGTGGATCATTCACTAAAAGCATTGCCGAGAGAGACTTTTGCAAGGAGAGAATCTGGGACTCGGTAGGCTCGAGCCAGTGGAAAGGTCTCGGGTCCATGGTTGCGGGTGGTTTGGCTTCCGGCAGCTCGTTTGGGAATTTGCAAGGGGCACAGTTTTGGAACTCATCACAGTCTGTCAAGATGAGGACCGCATGGCTATTGAGACAAGCTTGATATGGATCCGAATAAACCTCAATCGGCCCGCCGGACTCTTGCAGGACCTTGCCGCCAACCAGTCTCCCGATCTCCTCCTTCACTATGTTAGGATCACAGCATGGATCAAATACTGCGATCTGTTTTGGTGTTTCTTCGAGAAGACTCTTGATGCACTCAAGAGCAGGCGATTCCCTTGTGTCGCCCGTGTTCTTCTTGAATGCGTAGCCCAGCACAGTCAGCTTCTTGCCCACCACTGTCTGATTCAGACATCTGATTACTCTTTTGACGAATCTCGATCGTTGCCAGTCGTTCACTTTCAGCACTTGTGTCCAATACTCCGCCACCTCAGGCAATCCTAACCCCTCGGCGAGATATGTCAAGCTTAGAATATCTTTCTTGAAACAACTCCCTCCGAATCCTATGCCAGACTTCAAGAACCTTTCCCCGATTCTTGGGTCTAGACCGATGGATCTTGTAATCTCATCGATGTCTGCACCAGTTGCTTCGCATATTGCGGATATGGAATTAATGCTGCTGATCCGCTGTGCTAGCATAGCATTTGCGACCAGTTTCGACAGCTCGGAAGACCATATATTCATACTGACTATCCTGATCTGCGGAACCCAGGCTGCATAGACCGAGGAAAGTGCTGCTGCTGCACGGTATCCAGCTGGTGTTTGACTACTTCCAATAACCACTCTATCAGGGGTAAGGAGGTCAGTCATTGCCGTTCCTTCGGCAAGAAACTCGGGGTTGGATAAGACTTCGAAATCTAGATTTGGGCGGTGGACTTTCAACTGAGGGTCATGGGTATCAGTACATTGAGCTCAATGAATGTATGGTGAGACGAACAGTATCTCGAATCATTTCAGCAGTTCGGCATGGAACGGTGCTTTTCTCTACAATAATCGCCCCTGGCTTCGCATAAGTCGCCACTTCTCTGCTTGCTGCCTCCAGCGCCGTCATATCTGTAGCTCTCCCGGCACCAAGACCTCGCAATTTTGTCGGGGTGTTGACAGCTATCAAGACAATGTCTGCTTCGCTGATGGATCTTGAAACTTCTGTTGAAAAGAAGAGATTTGGTTTTCGCGCCTGCACGAATATCTGTTCCTTGTGTTCCCCACAATGAGTTTTGTATTCGGAGCTGGCTAAAATGTCGGAAGACATGATGTCCATGGAGTCGGTTCTGACTGCCTCATCAAGAAACGTGGTTGCATTTGAGCCGTCCCGTGCTATTCGTAGAATGTCCTGCAAGCCCGGTTCAAATATTGGAAGATGTTTGGAGTTCCATTTTTGAATACGAAAAGGATCTCGGTCGACGACCGTTATCTTGAGATGTGGATTTTGAAAAGCAATCATTGCCGATGTTGGTCCACCTGATCCTCGTCAGCTAAGGTAAATTCACGCCTTTAGTCTAGAGAGACTTGTACCAATATATCCGGCACCAATACAACATATATTTCTGACTTCAGCTCGATTTGAAAGCACCGCATCTGCAAAGGTGCTGTCTTGTTCCGGTCTACCTTTGCCCACTGCTTCATCTTCGAGTGCATCGCCAATCCCCAAAACTTTCAAGGATGGACTAGAGCCAAAGCTACCGCCTGGAGTGGTGGTAGGAGTGGGTATATTGAAGAGAGTGTCCTCGGAGCCGAACGCTAAGAATGCCTGCGGTAGGTGACGAGCCATCGAATAAGTTCCCGAAGTGCGGATATGTTTGGACAACCGGTCTGTAGGAAAGAATAGTGATGCATCTCTATAGGTTTTGTTGAAATTATGTTTATGTAAGAGGCGTCCGGCAATGCATTTTTCGTCAGTTATTGTTTATGACTATTTATACGGTGGAGTATCAATCAATAAGCATTGAAACAGTCTTAAACTTAAAGCTTGACTTGTGAGTCGATAGAGCTACAGACAATAATGTATTCCGAGACTTCGGGATGAAACTCTAGGTAGCAAGGCTTCAAAACTGGATATAAAAGGTAAAATTAGACGAGCCACCATGATCTGCGGCAGTCGGCGACGTTGGGACCATGTCCATCACAGGGCTGAGACTTTTTAGTGCACTTCCTATTCTTGTCGCGTTAACGATGTTAGGGAGAGGTATGGTAATGAAGTAAGGGTGTCTTTAGGCATCATATGATATTCGGTGTTCGCTGAATCCTAATCTCCGTTAACAGCGAGTACGCGAGCTCCTTGAATTCAAGGAGTTTTAGTGGATTCAAATAAGAGAAATGTTGGTATCACAGGTATTGATACGTGATCACTTCTTCTACTAGTAGAGACTTGATTCTGGTATTCTGATTGATGATGCTTAGCAATCGTTATGATGTTGCGGACGCGAAGAGATTATGCCTCTCAGCTTACTAAGCTACGCCAAGTCACATGACTAGAAATATCGGGATCCATAAAGGGGTGCAAGTGCCTTCGCTTCAAAGCGCTGCCTCATTTCATCTAAACCAAAGATCTTGCTATGTCCACTAATATAATTGCGGCTGGTAAATTGCCGAGCTTCAATTCAAGAACATAAATTTGATAAATAGTCATTCGAGCTCGTTATCGACTTGATCTACTAACTATCAGTTCTATTAAAACTCTAGCTCGATCTATCTCTATGTAATAAAATCTAATACAATCTTTTAGTGCTTATAAGTCACGCCTGTGATCTCTATATTTTCCCAGCTGCCTGGGCCTGCTCAAATTCCTTGCTGAATGGCCAATCCGTGTAGCCAAGCGCTTGTTTCGGCAAATAAAACTTACTTCGGTCATAAGGTGTGAGTTCGATCCTTTCCTTGACCCGGAAGACTAGATCAGGATTCGAAATGAATAAACGCCCAAAAACAATCACTACATCTTTATCCTTATACTCGACATCAGCAGCAGCGTACGCCGATTCTGTCTTGTAACCTGAAGCGAGGAGGACGGGACTTTGATTGTCCCATATATCGACCAAGAAGTTAACTGACTCGGTACTTTCTTCAAGGTCTGGCCCTTCTTCCCTCCACCAAACTCGTGGCAATATGATATGGAGGTAGGCAAGGTTGAACTTCTTCAACTCTCTGGTGTAGTAGGAGAATTGTTCCACTAAAGCATCGCTCTTCATTTTCATGCCTTGGAACGTGCTAAAGGGTGATATGCGGATGCCAGTCCTTTCAGCGCCTACGGCGGCAACGACGGCTTTCGTAACCTCCAGCCCAAACCTGGCTCTCTTCTCCACACTGCCACCCCAAGCATCCGTTCGGTTGTTGCTCACATCCTGGACAAATTGATCAATCAGATATCCGTTCGCACTGTGGATCTCAACGCCGTCGAAGCCCGCCTCGATGGCATTTTTCGCCGCTTGTGCGTACAGACCAATGTACTCCTGGATTTCCTGTTCCGACAACGCTTCCGGTTGGTCGCCGCCTTCAAAGGGAATATCGCCGGGGCCTTTGACTTTACCATCCGCACCCAATTCTGCCGATAGGACTTGCGCGGATGCGGCGCGACCAAGGGCCCACAGCTGGAGGTACATAGATGAGCCTTTTGCATGGACGGCGTCTGTAACTTTCTTCCAAGCTGCAATTTGATCCTCGTTCCAGATGCCTGGAACATTGGGTATACCACTTGCCTATCGCGAGGATCTTGAATCAGTATTGCCTTGTATGGGAATACCAAAATTGGTTATTCTAGACTTACTCGGGGAGCGATAAAGGAGCCTTCTGATATGAGAAGGGTGCCGGGTGTAGATGCACGCTGAGCGTAATATTCTGCGGCCATCGGGAGGTGCACATGATTATCGTCGGCACGGATTCGAGTAAGAGGAGCTAGTGCAATACGGTTGGAGAGCTGGACATTGCCAAGCTTCAGTGGTTGGAAGAGTCTTGATGGTGACATTTTGTTCGTCTCTTTCTTCTATGTGCAAAATATACTAAAGCTTGAAAGAATGGGTATGTATAAAAAACATAGGGTGGAGGGGCGCTTTCTCCAATTTATAGAATTCTTCTCACCCACCTACATACCTCTTGATTGTTCAGCAATCGTACATACTAGAAAACATTACTCCGTAAAAAACTTCTTATCGTGCGTGTCGTGCGCCCACAGGGATATTCCCTAGGCCGACTACGATCAGACCACCAAATAAAGAAGGCGGACAAAGTCCACCCTTTCTGCGTATACCTGAGTCGTACACCTGTGGTGGGTTCATCCGACGTATCCCCGTGAGTAAGTAATGCATTTGCATTCTAGGATTCCCCCGAGTCCCCTTAGTAATCCACTTGCATTCTAGGAGTTAAGCTGGGGATACTACGTAATTTCGGCTATTACCATCAACTACCGAAGTATTTTCGGAGGTAAGGTAAATTAGGTTAGCCATGTAGGAAAAAAGCTTAGTAAGGCATGTCTGGCACCAGTAGTTCACTAGTACTTACAGTTATCAGATCATTTTACGCACGGGCCACAGGCACTTGAGAGACAATGACGTCGCATACGGTGTATAAAAGTGCCGAGTTGCGTTGTTCGCGAAAACTCAGGAGCGAAGTTTTTCATCACCAACCCCAGGAACTTTCGAGGTAGTGTAGAGGGTAAAGGCTGAAGCAAAGAGGAGGGATAGAACGGTAAGATAGAGAGAGAAGAAAGGCGTAACGAAAGTAGTGAGAGGTGTAGAGACTGTATTGCATGATATATAACTACCCAGGTAGAGAGTGAGAAGAAGCAGCTATATACCGCAGTGTAGTCACATGATAGCCATGCGCCCAGAGCCCAAGACCCGAAAGACAGCAGAAGCAGCCCTACCATAGTAAAAACATAAAGGGGTACCAATTGAAAATGTGCTAGGTGGAGTGGGACGTTAAAAGTCGATGGTTACCTCCGTATACATGTCGGGATAATGGGACCCGGACTTCGTAGTCATGTGATCGAATGACTAAGCGAAAGGGTATAAGCCACCACTCTTCGCAACAGATCCAGGATCTACTATATCAATCCCACATCAATGCAACCACTAAGACCCCAAGTACAGATCTACTATAGTAGCCAAGTGATCACCTTGTGATACCAACACTAAGTGCCGATTTGCATGTCTACCACGAGAAAGCATAATAAAGCGTTAAGGGTTAAGAAAAAAGACGTAAGTCTATGCAGCTGCAAAATCAAAGCTGCATAAAAGCGATTGAAGCAATTATATCTCATCACCAATACCAGTTCGTCCCATGATTATTTCCCAATCCATTTTCATATCCCGTTAATGCAAGGCATCCGAATAAAACGATCCTATTCCATTACATCCCACCGCCCAGCCCACCTTATATACTTTTTAGAAACATAACCCAAGACCGAAAATGCGCAAACGAACAAATAGCGCAATGTTCAATCTACAATGCAATGATGGCAGCAAAAATCCCTAATACGCCCGTAAGAGAGACGCCCATACGAAGTGTATCAGCGGCAGCCTTGCTCGTCGTCGCAGTCGCAGCACTAGAGCTCGTCCCTGTAGAAGTCGAAGCACCTACAGTATCCCACCGAATTAGCAAAAACCATCGATCTCCCTTCTCAACCCCCCCCCTTTCTGAACGGATTACTCACCACTCGTCCCACTAGCAGTCTTCTCACCCCCAGTCTCACTCGCACTCCCCGTCGCCTTCCCAGTCGCAGTCGCAGTGCCCGTCGCGGTCCCAGTTCCCGTTTCCTCTGCGGCAGCTGTAGATATCGGTGTGACGGTCGCGCTGGCCACGCAGCCCTTTTGACACGTCTCGTAGGCGGCGTTCGCGGCTGAGCTGCCGTCGCCTTGGACGCAGGATGCGATGCAGTCGATGGTGCGATTCTGCGCGCTGTAGTCGCCTTCGGGCACGATGATGCAGGATTGGCGGCAGGAGGGGTCTTTGGCGTCGCCTGGAAGGTGGTCAGTTGGATCCGGGTAAGTTTGGTTTTTTGTTTGGTGGAGAAGGTGAGGGGATGAGAGGAGGAGGAACATACAAGCGGACAAGCAGGAAGCTTGAGATGATTGCGCTGGAGTGAGAGCCACGGATGAAGAAACAGGGGCTACTGTTGTGTTTTGTGCCTCTACTAACAGGACAGCCAGGACGCTGGAGGCCACCAAGGTAGAGAAACGCATTGCGTTAGTATACCGGAATTGAAAACTTAACAACTTTTGAAACGAGTGTATTTTCCGAAAGGAATAAACAGAGAAAGATTCGAGAACAAAGTCTTCAAAAGCGAGCGTGTGTAGATGAAGGAAAGAAAGCAAATGATGAGCAGCAACAAGTAAAGGGGTAAAGTAAAATTCGTGGCACCTTTCCAGGGAAGAGACTTACTTGTGCGCCCAATTAAAAGGGATCGCGTGTCGCGAGGACTTTGCTCGTTAAGTGAGACATGTCATTTACGAGCGAAGATTAATACGAGTTCTAAAAGCATTGAGTAGCATTGTGAATACGAAGTAGAACTTGAGAGGTGGTAGCTCACTCGACATGAGATGATATTTAACGCTTGACGCTATCCATGATTATTGTATTTTAAGCTTAATTCGGCCCCCGCATTGATCGTAACTATATTCTATTTTTAGACTGGTCGAGCTAACAGCCTATCATATGCTTTGCCGTGGAAAGTCTTTCGCCTGGGAAAGATTTCTTTACGAACCGGGAGCTTTTAGGATTGGTTGATTTACAGCGAACTGCAACGCCAACTTCCTCTTTCGTAGAAGTCGGCAAAACTCGAGTATCCTTCGTAATAGAAACCATGTCACTAGACGTGTGAACCTGGTTCTCGCAAACCATAATCCGCGCTCCAGGCACCGCTGGAACAATTTATACTCTTGGGGAGGTGCTGATGTCAAAATAGGTGATAGCCTCACCCAAGGGTCAAATGAACAGTCACGTGTTTTCGCACTGGCTTCCGAGTTGCAGGCTCGTATCTTTCCCTGTCCCTCTTTATCCTATTAAACGGACTGTGTGCGAAGTCGAGCTGATGGGGTATAGCATGTATAAGGAGACTGAAAGTCATAAACCGAGGCTTTAGGTTTGTAGCCCCCGTCCCATTTTTGCTCTCCTTGTCTTCGATATGGAGGAGCTGATGAAGCATTGCCAGGGACGAGAGCGGTTGGTAGAAATGAGGCGTTGGCTGGCTTACTGTACGATGGTGAGTGAGTTGCATTCGATGCGGTAGAGATATACGCTATGTCTGCATCTCAACCCGGATAGATACAAAGTTGTATTTGAAGAGTTGGTGAAGGATGAAAGATAAGTGGCCGGGTTGTCTGTCGTATAACAAGTTATATGCAGTGAGAGTGCCGTGGGAGGTGGAGTTGGGGGACAAGAGGTGGGATGTTTGTAACTATTGAGAGTGTGTCGGCTTCTAGCGGGACTTGAGTTGTAAGTGCTCAGGCGGTGAGAATAACACTGACACTGTCGATACTCTAGCAATACTCTTCTTGACAGTTTGATCTCAAGTTTAGGCGATGAAGAAGCGCAGATTCTATGCACTGAATAGTGAGCCAGGGTTTAATGTGGTTGTCGGTGGTTATTTGTCAAAGTTGAATTCGACATAACGAAAGTATTGGCAAGGAAAGGGTTTAGAGGAGAGGATAATGAATGCAACTCACTCAAGTGAATTCATGCGCACCGGTGAATTATTCACACTTCGACTTTGCCCCCGACTTTCTCGGAGCGAGCATTCGTCTTCCACTTCAAAGTTCAAACCCCAATATCCAATCTCCATCCCAACCACCAACGTGAGCTCACGAGACCTGTGCAAATCATCAATCATGTCTAACGTATGTGGCTATGAGAGAAGCTTCGCAATCGGGTGTTGGAATCTAATAACAACCTATAGGATACGCTGGAAACCCGCGACCTGGAGGACGACCCTACCGTTGAGAATGAACCGGACAATAAGCCCAAACCCGAATCCAAATGCATCAAAGAGCTGAACGGTCGCAATGAAGACAAGTCCAAGGGTGAAGGAGACGATTCGGTTGAGGCAGAAGGTCCAGAAGATGGGGAGTGGTTTGCCGTAGGAGTAAAACAAAAAGATCTCTCAGCAGGTGATTACGAGGTGAAGGACGAGAAAGGCAACATCACCGTCGTACGAGGGCCACCGTTGACAGACGCCGAAGAGGAGGCTCACGATCAGAAAGTTATGGACGCGGTTTTGGCGGGAAAACGGTATTAGTACAATACGGCGGTGCGCCTACTTCGATTTCATGACATTCAGAACCGCTATGTAAGCTGATTCCAAATATATTCTCTTGTTAAAATCATCGCTGATCCAACGGCAGAAGCAAGAAAGCAAGGATAAGCATCAGGATATTCTGGATTTCACTGATGGCTCGGAGGCGTTGGAGAAGCTTGGTACGAAGCATTCGGAGATGGTGCAGTGCAAGTACGGTAACTTCATGCCCAAGTTCCATCAAAGCGGCTGGCCCACTGCTGAAGAGATCGCGGAAATCGATGCTACGAATTCGGGACCTTGTACATGCACTCTGTGTACTGCAAGGAGGGCGAACAGAGCGATAATTTCGCCACCAAAGGTTTAAGGGCATGAGTGAAGGGGAGTTGGAGGATACAGAGTATGATAGGCTATCAGTTCGGTCAATAAATGCATCAATCGCGAAAGGTCATTCAAATACAAATAGATTGCGAAGAAACAGAATAGTTTAATAGTTGAGCCTCATTGAAACTAAGTAATTGGAACAAATCAAAACCGGAAATCTGGGGACAACCCAGCCTCTCGCCCCCACATTCCCAGGACACGCAACCCCATGGAGGCCGGAGATTTCAGGGACGCGATCAAGGCCGTTATTCGTACTTCCAGGTTAATAACGGTCACGATATCAAAAGGAGACGCTGACTGACTTTGTGAGACTAACGGGTTCGTGAACGAGAATAATCCCCCGAGTCGATCAATACTAGCGAGCGTTTCGAGTCCATATCAGATGGTTATCAAAACGGAGCATACCAAATGTGGAAATGCGATACAGTACGTACAAGCAGTGTACTTTGGGCGTTTCCCATTTGGATTTGGGACAGCAGTGACACTTTTGTTAGTCTCCTACGAGTGTACCTTAGGCAGACTATTCTCGACTTCTTCATCTAAAGGATGGTGATGTGGCCCATTGAAAGACGTGCAGCGCGTGGCAGTGTCATGTTCGTACCATGAAGAAAAGCAAGTGCAGCAGTGGTACCACATGGCGTTGTCCTGTAAAAATAGGAATATTGCGATTCCCATTCCCAATAGATGTTGATGGGACGATATCTAGGCCGGCGGTAAAGAATGAGGACCTGAGGTTGCTGAAGAAAGTAACTTGTTCTCGGCTCGTTATTGGCTCGTTTATCTCATCTGCCGACGTGGTTTGCAACAGAAGAGGCTGAAGCGAAATGATCCTCCGTCTGCAACGCGGCAAGCTTCACCTCAAACGCGACATCGTTTGGTGTTCACTTCACCTCATCTGTGCGCCAGTCTCTCCTCACCAATGTCAACAGCCCACCAGCCAATCATTTGTCCTGTACAGACTCTTATACACAACCACTAAACCCTCTAGAGCATGCCAATGCCCTTGAGACTTGCGCCTGGTTGTCCACGACTCCACTGCCCATTGCTTGTTTCTGCCTCCGTGCACTCTCCCCTCCCCTCTGCTCCCCTCCCAAGCTTGGCACTACTTCCGATTTGGGTGGGTTCTCTAACCCACTTGATGATGTATCATCGACCCGCCGACCCTCGTTCTTCGTGGTTTCATTCATGCCCTAACCTTAGAGGCCATCGTCAACTGCCCCCAAGCAATACGCTACGATGCGCCACAAGGAGTCCTCCAGCTGGCCCTGGCCCATTGCCCTCTCGAGTCCTTACAGTCCATACTGCATCCAGCGGCTGTGTCCGACAACCTGTGTCTGGCCTGCGCTTTGCTTTGCCAGAGCCCCGTGTCAAGTCTGCACTTATATGCTTCACCGTGTGTGAGGTTTCCTCCCTCACGCCACAGTCAGGTTTGAGGTTACCATGATCTCCTTTCCGTTTTCTGAATGATAACCATAACCACATGAGCCCATCTTCTCTCCTTTCTAGGCACCTCTGCCGACTACACCGTTTCGTTCATCTCGTTGATTCTATTCTATTCTTACTCTTATTCTTCTAGTATAATCTTGCTCCTTCCTAATTGCTCCTGGAAACAAAACATCAACAGGTGCCTCTATTCTCGGGCAGGGCCCTCTCACTCCTTCCTTCTCTTCTCTACCGCCTCGTGGTTTACTTTATACTTTCTTTCTGGTTCTGGGGACGTTGCCAGTAAAGGCAGGAACGACTCACCTACACTCTTTGACTTCAGCACTTAACCGCTGGCCGGAAATTACACATATCTTACTATTCGACTCCTCGACCACGATCCCCTTCCCTCGATTTACTTATACCGAACACATAAACACAAATACGATGTGGGCCACTACGATTGCGGTGTCTCTATTACTGGCGAGCAGAGCTTCTGCGGGGGTTATACAAGATGTCGGACACATGGCGCGGAGGGATAATTCAATGGAAGAGACTATGAAGCGATACGTGGATGCACTCGTAGAGCCCGTAGAGCGAAGGCAAGCAACAGAAGGAACAGGAGCAGTCAATGGATCGCAATGGGAGATGCAGACAGAGGCTGCTTGCACGGCATCACTACAGGCGTTGGGCGGGGTAGCAAGTAATCCGTCTGGCATGGCGGTGTGCTATAATCTGCCCTTCTTGGACAACACGACCGGAGTCTTCCAGGCCGATCTACGACTATACACCGTATCTGCGCCTACTGGCGACTTTGCCAATATCGCTACACAGAATGTTCAGGTTGGGCTCGCGTATAACGGAGCTACGGTCTCCGCGGTCAACTCGACGGCGTTAAAGGCGAGAGGAAGTGGCATCTCTTTGATTTCATGGCCGCGGGGTATGGAGAAGAGAGAGACCGCGGTGCCTGCAATGGCACAGTCATATGCTTTTGTTGGGCAAATCAACAAGAACCTGTTGACTGCCAACATGGGAACGTAAGTAACCCCTCTCGATCCTGGAATCCTTTCGCTAACCTTCCCTTTAGTGCCGCTCTCCAAAAAGTCCTGGTACCAACAGTCAGTCTAACAGCAGTTAACGGCAGCGGCCAAACTGTAAACACGACCCTCTCCTCCCAAGAAGCAACTTTTGTCAACGGCGTCTTCGCCGACCAAGTCGTGCCCACGAAATCGCAGGTCTCGCCCCCTATCCAAACGCTAGTCGTCGCATCCGGCGCGCCATTCGTCGTGCCAGGCCTCAATATCCTGATCTTCCCCATCGGCGCGATCATCACGGGTGTTTGGGCCGTGCTGTTGACTGCGACGATTGCGTATGGGACGGTCGGACGCATGCAGTTCAGGGATCAATTTAGGAGGCGGAATGCAAGGGCTACGAAGGGGGATTTGGCGAGGATATAAAGCAGAATAGGGGCGTTGGAGGATAAGCAGTGCAACTTCGATTCGTATACCATATAGAAATTTCGACACTAATCATCATGCGGCAAGGGGAGGAAGGTTTTAGATAGATGGTTATGCTCTCCTGGATGGATGGGTTTCGTCTCTTGTATTGTAAAGAATCCAATTTCCATCATGATGCTCCCACCATTGATGCTTGTTCTGCTCGTTTATATTTGATTATATTCGTGTTCTTGCAAACATTCCTTCACAACTAATGCTACACACCAGCTAGACGGATGTCTAGATGTCAAGCACATGATCTAACACCCCTGATATGCCTACCGCTTTACCCTGTTCTACAGCAGCAGGTCTCTATATCATTATCATCATAGAATGGAATTTCAAAAGTGCCAATTTCTTGCTATAGTATATTAGAGGTACTGGAATATAAAATACCTATGGGGGTCAATCATGTGACCTAAACGACAAGCATCATGAGCGCTTCTTGCTTCATCCCTTGTTTCTTGATCCTCACTATCAACGGTAGCACATTACAGCATCTCACCGCCGTAGTAATAAAACCCTTGAATCCACTGCCTGCCAGATACTGTATAGTACTCTATTTATATAGTATACAGTATCTTCAATTCCGAGCTGAGGACGCGCCCCTCCCGAAGCATGAATACTGTAGTATTCTAGGGGTTCCTAGTTGAAACCGCACGGATTATGCGTGCCTGTTCCAGGCCCGGGGGGTGTCTTTCCACTTGTTCAATGCTTTGTTGTGAGCCGAGATGCTGCTGTTGTTTCCTTGGTGTTTACGGAGTGTGTTCATGCGCTGTGCTGTGGCGTGTGTTGGGTTCGTCTGAAAATTTCGAGGTTCTTTCTCCCTCTTTCTTTACTTTGTTTTTATATCGGTTTTGATACGATATTTTATACCTGGAATTCCATATATTGGTACGAATAGCTGTCGAGATGGCAGATGTAGCGGACCTGGTAGTGCAGTTGCACTCGAATATCGACTCGATTCACCAATGTGTCAAATCGCTCTCTGCGACCTCGGAGCATGATGCGAAGATGGAACGGCTTGAGAGGGAAAGGGAGGCGAGGATTGAGGAGATTAAGAAGAAGCATGAGGATGATCTCAAAGAGCTTTTTGCACAGAGAGCAAAAGAAGAGGAGGAGTTAGAAGAGCAGAGACGGAATGAAGAGCGGGAATTAATGGAACGGCGACGGCGGGAGGATGAGGAGCGTAAAGCTCGGGTGCGAGAAGAGGAAGATGAGAGGAAGAGGTTGAAGGAGGAGCAGGATGAGAAAGGAAGGGTGGAGATGGAGGACCGACAACGGAGTTTGAGGGAGAATGCTGAGGCTGAGTTGGAGAGGCTGGAGGATGAGATGGAGAGGAAGGTTGAGGAAGGGAAGATGGTGTTGAAGGAGTTGGATGAGAAGAGAAAGGTGAGCCTGAGAGGCGTATGCAGGCAACAACGGGGGAATTCTAACTGATGTGAACAGGCCATCAATGCCCAAATCGAAGCAGCGCTAAACCAGCCAACCGTCATTCCCACTATAAACTTTCGAAGTCGCAGGAAGACTCTTGGGAAATCTACCCAAACATTGCCGAATGGCACTGGGACTGGGACTTTACCACCAACGGAGTTGAACGTCGTCAACGATCCGGACGCGACAGTGTCACTTCAGACTACCGAGAAAAGCGATAAGCCCGTGCAGCACATTGGAGAAGAGGGAGAGAAAGCCTCAGATGTGAGTGCAGCTGCTCCGGAAATCGAAATACGTGCTGAGAATATACCAGCTGGGGATATGATTCACGAGCCTGCCGATCCTCTCGTCCCACAGAAGGCTAAAGAAGCTCCTATCTCAGCTTCTGGGGTGGTTGAGGTAGATAACATACGAAACGAGACACCTTCTCAGCTTTCCGACCTCGACATACCAATTACGGAGGACGGACCAGTCACAGGGAGTGATGAAGAAAATACGGGCCTGAGAACACCAACCTTAATCGTCGAGGGTGTTGCACCAGAAGCTATTACCTCACTGCCAGAAAGCAGCCATACCTTGGAACACGACGATACACAGAAAGGAGAGAGCAATTTGGGACATGAACAGAATGCCCAAATAGCAAGTGAAGTTCCACTAGAAACAAGTGAAGATGGACCAAAGGACTTCGAGGATTCTTCCAACGTCCCCGAGAACTTGATAGTCGCTGAAAATGACAAACTCCAATTCTCAGCTGCGCTTGAGCTTTCAACCAGTGACTCAGTGGCAGAAAATATCTCAAATGCAGAGATTCCCTCGCCAGAACCAAGACATGAGACTGTCGAGCCAATTTCAGAGTCAGAAGACCGTTCAAATCTGAATGATACGGTATTAGCTCCCAATAATATCTCTGATGCAGCAGGTGCTTCACGGGAAGAAGGCAGTGGAATAACTACTGCTCCGGGGCAGACCGAAGGAAATAATACCACTGTCTACCAGGAGCTTCCAGTTCCGGAAAAAGATCAAGTCCTCGAAGGAAGTCCTCTGATTGAGAACACAGCTTCTGCTGTACATGAAGCCGGATCACGCCAAAGTCTAGAGCTACCCCCAGTGCAATTGGATAGCTCTTCTGCTGAAACCCTCTCTGCCGCCACATATAAACTCCCCAAAATGGACGTGACAAGCGAAAATATTGAAGTCACTGCTCCAACAGAAAAAGTCAGTCTTGAGCTTGGGCAAAAACTTGATAATAAAGGAACGGTGGAGTCTTCTAGCCTGCTCAATCTCGAACAGCATGATGATTCCTTGGAGATAATATCAGCTGGATTAGATGATTCTGGCTATTCAACAGAAAGACCGCTGGGTGATTCTTCCAACCTCTACACTAGCAATACCAGCTCGGCAAGAACTCCTCCAGCCTCTATAGAAGTGTCCTCTGGTTCAATCAAAGATGAAGGCCCCGAGCAAAACCGCGCTCTGGTTGATCACCATGTCATTAGCTCAAATGGTAATATGAACTCCCCGGAGAGCTTGGACGTGGCGCCTGAGAACTTAGAGGCTCATGACCGCCAGGATCCTGTGGAAGTGCAGGAACTCAGAGCCCCATTTGAGGTTTTGGAATCTACGGATCAAAAAGCCACCCAAGAGTCTGTTGGGGTTGTGATGAGGTTAGAAGAATCTTCGGCGGAAAGTAGTAAAGAACACTCGATTGCTTCTTTCTCGGGTGATAAAGAGAACACCGAAACTTTTAACAACAGTGCAGCGAAGTTGGAAATTCCCGAGCAGCACATTGAAAGTCAACCACCTACCCCAACGTTCTCTTCAACAGCTCAGTCCCAAGACTCTACTGCCACTGCCGAGATTGAAGGCAGACCACAAACACCAAAACAGCAGCATTCGAAGATGGTCGACCCCCCTCAACTCCTCCAACACAGATCTTCCATCAAACATATGATCACACCACAGCCGAGTCGCCTGTCACGGTCTTGGATGCAGATGACTTGTTCGCCGACAGTGATGATGACGATTACGAGGAGCAGTACAATCACAATGTACATGGGGGGGATCTTGAGTCGGAACAAGAAGATAGTGGACTTGTCGAGCACGAAGTAGCACATGCTATTCCTATCCACCAAAATGCATCATGGACACATCCATCAGCTAATGGAGGCAATGAGTGTGAAGCAGCATCCTACTCCAGTTCAGAACATGCGAAAACGCCTACAGGTCTCTTCGCTTCCCTGGTCGATACTATCCAATCCGACTTGCCCGTAGTGAGCAAGATGGTCAATGGCTCGACTGAAGATGAGCCCGAGGAGGTACCTACTGATACTGAAGATGATTATCATATGCCAAGTACATTCAACGTCTCACCCGAGAGTGAACTTTATGAGAAAGAGTATCCGCAAGATATTGGTTCTGCACTTCACATTCGCACCCACACTGCAGATACCGTCCCCTCGTTTGAGACCTACGCTCACTCTGACGACGGCGACTCATCACCCGTAACACCAATTGACGAAATCGCCGAGAATGCAAGCGAGGCACTTCAAACCGAGCGTCTGATTAGATCTTCATGGCCAGCTCAAGCTCATGATATCGAATCACACGAAGAAGAAAGCCAGGATTTGAAACCTCAAGCTTCCCCAATGCAAGCTGATTTTGAAGCATTTTCTACTCAACAATATCCCTCATACATCACGCCCAAAACGAGTCAAGCCAACCTGAAAGGGCAAGAAACACCAGAGAGCGATTTCCACAGCTCTGCTAGTGAGAGTGCAAACGGTCGTTCTCAGGTTACGTCGCTGATCACAGATCTTCCCAGCCGACCCTACGACTCCCCACCATCAGCCACGCGGTCTCAAAACGGAGAAGAAGAAGCCACTGCATCATCGCCAACTCTCCTTCCCCGCCGCTCAACACTCACAGATCGGACTAGCATAAGTCAGACGCCAGCTAGTTCTCCATCGGTACCAAATCCCAGCTTCTTTCAAAAAACACGCTCGCTCTTCGAATCGTCCTCGTCATCCTCTATAGCGCACGCAACACCTCCACCTACTCGTCCCCTCTCCTCATTCTTCACTCTCCGCCCCTCTTCTTCCTCCTCTTCTTCCCCTCCACCACCCCCTAAACCCTCATCCCTGAGATCCCAATCCCGTCCTTCATCTCTCCACCAATCCGAATCCACAACCGACCAATTAATTGTCCCGCGCAGTCTAGACGCCATCCCGAAGCCACCGTCCCCGAGCTTCGTCCTACCAGCCGAGAATGCAGAGGAGGAATACGAGCACCGCCGCGTCTCGAGTTCTTTTTTGGGCGGCCTTTCGAAAATAGCAGGGCAGGGGTTGGGTGGGCTTGAGGACTCGGTTCATAACCCTGCGCGTGGGGAAAATACGCCTTTGCTGCAGAGCGAAGGAGAGGGGGAAAACGGATATTGACCACGCCCGGCCGCAGGTACACAGGTGGAGAATGTGGTGTATGTTGGGTTCAGTGATGCTAGCGAGGAAGAGGGGGAGAGGGAGAAGGAGAAGGAGGTACAAGGCGAGTATAGACTGGCTTGGCTGTGGGTTGAGGGGTGGAGGGCACGGTTGAGGAGTGCTGGGGATGTGGTTGAGAGGAGTAGGTAGGATGGACACGTACAGTACGCTCGGCGTTGTGGGAAGGGAGGGAAGGTGTTCTTAGTTAGCGTGTATGTATGATTGATTATGTAAAAACCAGTCACGGATTTCTAGTTTCCTCGTTACTAGTTCCTTGAAGCGTGTATAGTAAGTATACCGGACCGGGGTATAGCATGCAAAGATTGGGTTCGTGTAGCTGGTACTACTCTGCTATTAACCTATTCATATCCCGAGTTGAATCGCGTTTTATAACTTACACTTCGTATATAATACTTGCCTCTGCTCTTCTTTCTAACTTTTGTTTCAGCGGCTAGCTCTTCACAATTTTCATGAAACCCCTATAATATACAACTGCTTGGTATGCCTATAAGTTAACACGGCTGGAAAGCAGTATACTGAGATATAACCACTTACCACCATACCCAAACCACATATTACTTCCTCCCCATCCCGAGATGCATTCCGTATCCCCACCACCATCCACACCGGCACTACTCTACACCATCCTCTACTTCAGACGCCTCTGCTATATCCCCTCGAGCATAAGACACGGCCTCACTTCCTAGCATGAGGAACAGGCGGCTTTTAGCAGGGATTTTGATGCGGACTACGGGCTAGAAAGGCTTGTGGAGATCGTGAGGGGGTTACGATGGTGGTCGGGGGTGTTGAGGGGGGTTTGAGGGGGTGAAGGGAGTTTGTGAGGTGAGGATGGGGATGGGGATAGGGATTGGGAGGATAGAGGGGCTGGATGTAAAAGTGAAGTGCTGGACTTCGTGATGTAGGCGGGCAGGAGATGGTAGAGATATATGGGGATGTGGAGGGAGAGAATATTCCACATGCATTGGTGGATGTAGGTAACGCTGAGGTGGTGTTGTAGATCAGATGCATTTTGATATTGAAAATTGCAGATAGGACAAAGAAAAGAGTGCTCCGGGGTGCGATATGCTGCGCTGGCTGAGTTGTTGTTCAACGGTACAAGTGCAGTGCTAGGATAGAAAGAAGGCGTGGGAGCGAGGGCGGGTGGCGGTGTGGTGTGCGTAGATGTATACTGGCTCCGTGCCAGTTGATCTGCCGTGACCTTCGGCTCTCAGGTGTCTCCCAGACCTTTCTTGCTGCGCAGTCGCTTGCGGCAAGTCCAACAGCGGAAGGCATGATCTTTGTCACGGTGCTTTCGTAATGAAATCTTATCAGGAAAGTCGCTCTTGCAGTCGTTGCACCAGGTCCGGTGGTACTTTGCGTCGTGTCTGTCTAGATCTCCCTGACAATAGAATTGCTCCTTACAACTACCGCAGTAGTCCTGGTGAGCGTCTCTCTCGTGCTAGTTTCGTGACTCATCAGAGCCGAAGCCAGCTCTGCCACAAATACTGCATCCGTATGACATGGTAGTGGGAGAACTGCTCAAACGTGAGTGAGAAATGGAAGACGGGATCGAGATGAAAGCTTACCTGAAGATACTCAAATTAAGATGAAAAATTACAATCGATCGACCCGTCTTAGGTGTTGAGGTCGAGGTGGGTGAATTGATTCGATACTGTTGTTGTTCTTGTTGTTGCGCGTTGGATAGTTGAAGCTCTGGAAATTGATGTGGTGAAGAAGACTTGGAGCTCGCTTAGAACTTTAAGGGGCAGAATCCCTCAATCACGTGGACTACCCAAGGCGGAGAGAGAATTGAATCATGCCTTACGACACCTGCGTGAAATCATCTACAGATAGTGGATGCAGGTTTTGCTTTTACAAACCATCCATGGCCATGTCCCAGCATCCCCAGCATAGTCTCATAGAACGAAGCACCAGATGTGAAGATGAACATTTCGTGTAGCTAGGTCTTGTAAATATATACCACACACGAATATACAAGTCTATCAAATAATTTTGGCACTTGCCAACACTTATACAGATCAGGAGACTAAACCCAACCATTAACCAAAACGCTTCATTATTCAGCTGCATCTACAACTTACTAGAACTATTCCCACCCTGTGACGGGACAACCTCAACAACCAACTTCCCAAACTGGCTTCCATTCCTCATCTGCTCAAACAACTCATCGATATCCTTGAGATTATCCAAGCCCTTTGCAACCTTCGAAACAATGGGCCGAATCTTCTTCTCTTTGACAAACGCAACCATGTCCTTGAATTCCTTCCTGCTGCCCATTGTCGTGCCTTTCAATTCCAAGTTCATCAAATTAGCACCCATTGTCCAATCCATCTTAGGGCCAACAGTCATGCCGTACTGAACGATGACTCCGCCGGGCTATCCAATATAATCAGTTCTGATTTCGTATTTGATCGTGTTTGAAGGCCTGGATTCAAGTATGCATACCTTCAATAACCTAACCGCCTTCCCCACAACATCCCCCCCAGCCCCCATCAATAATGGCATCCACCCACGGCCTATCCACCGGCAACAAGCCCCTCAACTCCTTCTCCCACCCCTTCTCCTTATAACTCACTCCCCCCCTCGCACCCACCTCCACCGCCCTCTCGATCTTCTCCCGACTCCCACTCGTCACCCAAACATTACTCCCCGCCGCCACCGCAAACTGCAGCACATTCAGCGCCACTCCCCCACCAATGCCAGTAACCAAGATATTGCGCCCCGCCTCCGCATTCCCACTCTTCGTCACCAGCGCCCGCCACCCCGTCAACCCCGTCAGCGGCAGCGCCGCCGCCTGCACATCGCTCAGATGCTCCGGCGCGACCTCTACTTCGCTTTGGTCAACACATACGACTTCCTGTAGCGTGCCGAGCGGGTTGCTTGACGTGCCGCCTAGGATCGCATATCCCGAGGGGGATTCCGGACCCGTTGGTGAAGAGGCCCAGCCTTGTCCGGGGGCGAGGATCACGCGTTTGTGGAGCCAGGAGGTGGCAGAGCTGCCGGTGGCGGTTACGGTGCCGCAGCCGTCGGCGAGGATGGGCGTGGTGAAGGAGGGGGCGGGGTAGAGGTGTTGGCGCAGGAAGAAGTCGCGGTGGTTGAGCGCGCGGCGGAGATGGTTATGAGGAGGTCGTTGGGGCCCGGGGTGGGCGTGGGGACGGTTGCTAGCTGGAGGCTGGTGTACATTATAGGTCTCAGTTGGCTGTTTGGTGCTGGTGGTGTGTGATGTGTGTAGAGAGAGAGCTTACGGGTAATAGACTTTGCCTGGCTTCCCCTCGACTTGCTTCATTGTGATTGCTTTGGGCATGATGGGAATTGTTTTGTGGTGCTTTGGGATGTTCAAGGAGGTTTGATTGGTGGTTTGGAACACGATTGAGGTGGTGTAGATGGGTTGTTTGTATGTTTCATTGTACAAGTATGTAGGTATGGATGTTTGTATTTCAAAGCCAGGGATGACGTGCAGTCCCCGCGATGTATTTGCCGAGGCTGTTGATAACCGGAAGCAGGTACGCGAGGCTGTAAAGGGGCAATGCTTCAATGTCTATATATATAAATCTGCCTTTTGCCATTCATTTAGTACTCCATGAAATACTATGTCTCTACATGTTTTATGCTCCAGAACTCCAAGCCCAAATAACACCCGACACTATCGCCTTCTTTTCCCACCACCACCACCAGCTCCGTCAGGGTCGGCTCTCCTCTTTTTGCCCTCCTTGCGCCAATACTCCTGCTTCTCCTTCTTCTCCCGCTCCCCTCTCATCTCCGCATTCTCCGCAACCTTCTTCCTATAAACCTCCCTCTTCTCTTCCTTCTTAACCCGTCTCTTCGCCTCCTTCTCATTCCTAAGCGTCATGACCTTCTGCATCAGCTCCCTCGCCTTTTTCTCCTCCCCTCCCAACACCACAGCACGTTTCTGCATGTACGTCTCCTTGCCCTGTTTTTTCGTCTGCACAATCTGACTCTTGAACGGCAATTCTGCCGCCAACGCTCTCGGGACACGCAGAGGGTTGAAATGCCGTACTGCACGCTCAACAGGTTTATACAGACTATTTTTATCCTGCGGCGTCGCGAGGCCTTGATCACGGCGCACTTCACCTGTAAGACGCATGCCTTCCCATCCAATAAGGTTCGTAACGGGGTTGTAGAAGCGATGCGGTTTTATAGGGTACCAGGCTCGTAGAAACACGATGTCTTTCATGAGGATTTTGTCTTCGAATGTTGCTCTGAAATGACCCTCTGGTTTACTCAGTGCGCGCTTGATCTGTCCCCTGATGCCAGAAACGGTGCGGATGGATGCGCCTTCGAATTTCGCGATTTCGAGTGAGGTGGTGAACATGTCTTTTATGAACGCTGTGTTTTTGAATACCTTGTATGGTACACCAGTCAGTTTGAGCTTCTTGACGATTTCGGTGGATTCGTCGACATTGAGGACTGTGCCTGTGGCTGCGATGCGGAAACCTGGATTTTTGTTGGAGAAGGAATTGTAGCAGGAGAAACCGGTGTTGGGGGCGACCAGGGGACCGTAGAATGTGCCGAAACAATGCATGTGCTCCGGTGTATATTTGAGCATGCGGTTTCGGGTTCGCGAGTCCGATATGCTGTAGACTGGCATGGTCTGGAATCTTCGCCAGCCCATAGAGAATATCAAGGGGTCGTTGGTCTTTAGGATCTTCTTGTGCCATCTGTGGCGCTTGATCCTGACTTGGACGAAGCCGAATCGATCTTCTGTTGCGGAAATTCCGCCGACGATGAGTGGCATTCGAGGCTCGAATTTTTCGACGAATTCAGAGGCTACGTTTTCAATAACAATCTTGGCGTATTGACCTGCTCTGAAGCCTTCAACATTGACTCGCTGGTTTTCATCAAGAGCATCGAACTCGGATTTGTTGATATTCAGCTGCTTCTGAATCTGAGCTTTCTGTGCATCATACCAATCGTCCTCGCCAAAGTCCTCTTCTTCGCCGCCTTCTCGTCTCGCCTTGGCTTTGTCGTTGTTCAATCCTTCTGGGTCTTCCTCTTCGAATCGCAACTTCAGCTCTTCCTTTCGACGAGCATTCTTCTCTCGTTCAGCCTCGATTTCGTCCGCCTTGTGCTCTTCACCCGTCTCCAAATCCTGGAATGCTCCATCGCCTTCATCATCCTCATCCTCATCGTCTTCTTCAGCGTCGCTATCGTCGCTATCGCTGCCTTTTGCAGCTTTCTCCTTTAGCAAATCAGCGGTAGCGAACCGTTGTCTCAATGCTTCGACGTTATCCTCAACTGACCAACGCGCTTCTAGCTCGTCATAATCAAGTATTGGAATGGCACGGTCTTCGAAGTGCTCGTCATCCTTCTCGCGGCCTGACTTCTTGAAGAACGTTTCCTCATCATCGGAATCTTCGATATTCTCTTCCTCCTGCTCAACCTCTCCTCTCCATCGCTGTAAAGCTTCAGCCGGAGATACTGATTCGTCATACATCATCTTGGCGAGATCTGCCGTTCGATATGACCTCTTCTGGCCGTGAAGTTTCCGCGCTGTTTCCACCATATTCTCTTTCCAGCGCACTCCACCATTTTCGTCGTCCGAAAGGTCCTCGTCATCTGAATCGAGTTCCTCTCCAGATATTGAGCCAAGATCTGAATCACTGTCTGCAAAAGCAACATCTCCCTCACTCTTGTCATCTGGTTTTCGAAAGGCCTTCCCAAGCTTTTCCTCCGCGATCTCTTCCTCGTCGTCTGATGCAAGTTCATCTCCGCTCACGAATCCCTCGTCATTCGCAGGACCATCATCGTCAGATTCTTGGTCTCGGTCGACGAATCTCGCAGAGCGTGGCTCTTTTCGGCCAGTATTTGCGTCTTCTGGGATAGCCTTGATAGCATCAGCACCACTGAATAACCGGACACCCTCTCCCGTTTCCCCAAGTAACCTCCTCTCTCCCTGTAGATTTATTATCAACTCTTCTCCCTCGCCACGATCCTCATCCTCGGCATCTGCGTCGAAATTGAAGCCCTTCTCTCGAGTAATCCAAATAGTGTCCCCATCAATCTTCAATCCACTCTTGTCGGACATCGGTGCGTGCAGTTTCTTTTCCTTCTCGTCCAAGCGTTTCCTTCCAGACTTCCCACTTGCTTTTGCCACCGCCTGGTCCATATAAGGAGTTGGACATGGATCTGGCAATGCTTCCATCGCAGCTATCGAACAATCCCCCAACCCAGGTATATGCACTCTCTGTCCACTCGCCGCGAAATTCGTTCCACGTAAATACCCTGAAAGCACCACTGTTCTGTCGCATTTTGGGTCCTCCTCGATCTTCGTGGGATGTGTGATATCCCGAAAACTATCAATAATCGTATACGGATGCGAATTCCTCCAAATCAACGGCCTGGGATTCTTCATAACAGAAATAAACCTTGACAGGTTATGAATCTCGCGATCCGGATACCGGCCATTAATAACACCTGACAGATAAAACAAATGTGCGCCCTGATACAATTCGCTCCAAAACCGCATCTTCAGTCTCTTCTTCGCGTCTTTGAGTGTCTGCGGCTTCCGAAATAGGTCCAGATGGGTCAAGATCCCAAAAACATTTCCAGGCATTCCACTACTCGCAAGTATATTCAAAAACTCCATAGTTTCCATTTCGAATCCAAAATTCCCGTCGATCATCAGCAGGACTATGTCTGCTACTTTGGACATGTCGACCATGGCTTCGAGCTCGTTGGGACATTCTACGAATGTGAGGCGTTGGCGCTTGGATGTTACGACGGTTATGGGGCCCAAAGGGAAGGAGAGCGTTTCTTTGGCATAGCGTTTTACGAGGGATTTGAGGAGGGTGGTCTTTCCGACGCCGGGTGGGCCAACGATGGTAACGAGGCGGGGAGGGGGTTCTTCGGGGATGCGATCGATTTGGGGGACATGGTAGCGTTTTTCTTTGATCTGGGGGGCGATTAGTGATTATTATCTTTTGAGGAAAGTAGGATATACATCATGCGATCGCGCAGCAGTTTTCGCCAGTCGTCCTGGGTTTGCGAAACTAAAAGCTTTGGGATTGCGGTCTGGGTAAAGTTAGCATTGGAGAGATTGGTAGGTAAATTAATTGTTAGGATACTGACCTCCAGTATGCTTCTTCTTATCCTTGGCCGCCCGATGGGGCCTGTTCTTCTGGTCCTCCATGTTGGGTTGGTTGTATAGTTCCCCTCGAGCTCATGCCTCTATGCACATATATTTTTTTCTTGGGGAACTTTTATCAATGAGCTACTATACTTTATCCGGGCTAGCTCCACTGCTTATCGCCTATCACTCTGGCACGTGATCTAATCCTAAATCACGCAAAACATGGGCCGAGAACAATACATGCTGAGGTGTATCTATAGTCAACCAGTTGTTGCATTCGCTTTGGTGTTAGCAGGACATCTCAAATGCAACCATTTCAAGCTCTTTCCCGGGTCATCTTACTGCCAAGGGGCGCCTTATCCAGGTTTGGCAGCTGCTCCACCCCACCTTGATGACGTATATCTTAGGCAGCTGAAGGTGCTGGCGGGGTCACGATCACGATATAGGTATATAGTAGGGTAGGTATAAGTATATAAGCCTCTCTCTACGCCATATCTCATAATCTTCCTCTTCGACCGCTCCAGTTTTCCATTCCCAGTACATAACTTCATATTCCAAAACCTTTGAATACCTTCACGCATACTCCTTTCTACCCACCCATCTTCTTCAAGCAAGCAGGATCTTGTATAAAATGGCGGAACCCACTCATCTGGCAAGCTTTTCTCTCATAGCAGCATTGTAGGTAGGTAGTTGCTAATGCTGTTTCCCCAGGTTACCATCAAGGAGAACGCAACTCCTGCAGAGAAGACAGCGTGAGTATCCAAGACCATCTCGTGCTTCAGCCACTAACACCAGTTCAGCGTCGAGAAACACATCAAGGAACAAGGTGGAGAGATCAAAGACACCTCTTCATTTGGCACATACAGGTAAGTCACCATGGCGACTGTTAACCTCCAGTTGCTAATGTTGTTGTTCAAGCGTTGTTTTCCCCAAAGACACGGTTTTCGCCTCCGATTCCCACCCCGATATCGATGCCGTTGAGGCCAACTCAAGCGTCCACACGCAATAAAGGGAAAATGTTATTCTACCTAACCCAATATATGCACTGTATAGCATGCGCACAGGAGGATGTGAGGTGTTGCTGCTTGACTTTCGAGTAAGTAGGCGAGCAGTGGTTAGACAGACAGTGGGACATGACGGCTTTGATAATGAAACATGGCATCGTACGCCTCTCTTGAACTACAAAATAAAGTACCAAACGTGAACTACAGAATGTCTCTGTCATTATATGAGTGAAGTTGAAAATCAATAACCGTAATCGTATTGTGATGGACATTCGCAAGGAGCCAAGGGTTTTTGGTTTTGTCCAAGCGATCATCGTGGCTTCGCTCCTCTAGGCTTTACAGCACTGTAACTATATGTACACAAATGCCACCATGACATTACTTTCCGCGCCATTGCGGTCGTGCAGTGGGAGGCTATATCTCCCAATCCGATTCGCTTCCAGGACAACTTATAGATGCTTCTCCCAAAGTGCACACCTTGCTCGGCATCCCTCTCCCTCGGGCCACAAGTGGTCCCATCCACCCAGTTCAACAGTCATCGCCGACGACGATGTAGCAAGCCTCGCCAGCAAACCACAGCATGCCCTCAGTCTGGCAGATCTCGTCAAGTATGGATGCTCCACTTCTGATTGTCACTTCCTCCATTGACTGACCACATCCAGACATGGTCGTCCCCCGCTCTCCGCAGCCGCGCTGTATTCCTCTGCGAACTTCACCCTCTCCCTACTCCCCATACGCCTCGCGCATCGTATACACGCCCTGCGAAACCTCCCTTTTATTGTCGTGTCGAATCCGAACATATCGAAAATATACAATAACTACCTCCACTCCCTCTCGACCTTGTTGCCGTACAAGCACAAGACCATCTCCAACCTTGAAGACGAGATTCGGTTCACAGAAGTGCTCGCAGAATTAGTCGAAACCCACGCAAATACAATACCCACCTTGGCCCGAGGTTTTTTGGAATGTAGGAAGTATATCAATCCGGTACAGGTAACAGGATTCTTGGACGAACACTTGCGAGCTAGAATCGGAACAAGGTTGATCGCCGAGCAACACATTGCCTTACATGTATCTTCACAGCCTCACCAAGATCCGACTTCTAAATACGAACCGTCGAGCCATTCATCATACGTTGGTGTTATTGATACCGCGCTTCAGCCTGCTACGATTATAAACAGCTGTGGAAACTACGTGTCAGACATATGCGAACTCGAATATGGCGTCCGGCCAACATGGATTATTGATGGAGAGCCGGATACCACGTTCGCCTATGTACCAGTACATCTAGAGTACATCATCACCGAATTGCTCAAGAATGCGTTTCGCGCGACTGTCGAGTCTGGGAGGTCGCATGAGCCTGTTGTGATTACAATTGCTGCAGAACCAGAGTCTCCAAGAGGAGCTCCAAATTCGTTCGATCATAGCCAGACATTGGATAACAATTACCCTCAGGAATCGTCCGAAAACCCCCGTATTAAACCATTTGACGACCCCGCTCCTGGGGTAACAATACGAATCCGTGACAGGGGAGGTGGAATCAGCCCCAAGGTTCTGCCCAACATATGGTCTTACTCATTTACGACCTTTTCCGACGAGGACGAATTGCCTGGGCAGATCTCTGGCGGCGGTAACGTGGATGCGCTCAACGCAATATCTGGACCTGGTGGAGAGCGAAGCTCAATCGCGGGTCTTGGATACGGGCTACCGCTAGGTAGAGCATACGCCGAGTATTTCGGCGGGGGTATTGGTGTTCAAAGCCTTTATGGATGGGGCTGCGATGTTTATTTGCGACTCAAGGGACTAGGGAAGCCAAAGGATTGAACTTCCGGAGCTCTGTGATTTGATGACAAGAAAGCATACTCCGTAGAGATTATGGACTCCCGACTAATGAGATGTGCCGAGGCTGGTAGTTTTGTATACCTATGCTAGGGATGCAAAGACACCGATCCACGCATTTGCGTCGAGTAACGGGTACAGCACCACGGCTCTTTGCTCCATGTTGGATACCCCCTTGTTCCTGTCTCCTGACGAGGGGCATGGGTAGAATGCGAGAAGACAGTCCAGCTCCTTACTCCGTAATTCAAATTAAGCAAACAAGGGACAAATTAATGAAATTTTCAAAATCAGCTAAGATTCCTAATAACAGTTACTCCTCATCTATCAGCCGGTTTTTATGTGGGTAAGCGTCCCGGTATCGATTCCCCTTACGTTCTTATTAGGGAATAGGTTTGCGATATGAATCGGAGCCCCGTATTGACTTCCCCTCTTCCTTTTCTAACTTTGCATTGTATGCCTTTTCTTTCCTTTTATTCCTGGGTGGTAGCGGGCGAGACAGCTTAAGATATATACATTCTAATAGATACGCGTAATAAATAAGCTGCGGGAGAGAAGTGAGTGCAGACATATTAAAGGAAGCTAGCCAAAGTAGATAAACTAATATAACAACTCCTTTGATTCCGCCTCAGCCTTTTTAGTAATCCTCTCGACCATTAGCGTATCGGAGAAAGAAATTAAACAATTCCTCAAGCATTTTAACGTTAGTATAGGAGGGGAGGGGATTATCAACCGATCTCCGCTTGCATTTTTGTACTTTGACAGAGCTGGCTTTTGGTAAGGTATCTATTAGCAGCAGCCTCTTGAATGTGATATTTATAGGCGCTGTATTTGGCTATTAACATACTAGGAAATACGTTGTATACTAGAATAGGAGCATATGCTTCGGACAGTCTCATAAGTACAAACCTAGTAAAAGCAAAGATTGTGGAAGATGCAGGTTGGTTGATAATACTATAAAGGCTTTTCTAGTAAAAGCTTACTTGTTATATAAAATTGCAAGTGAGTGACTCTATAGCATTCTACTTATATCTTCGGTTTAGTTGCGATTATCTCTTACTAGAAGATTAATACCGCACTTTCAAGGGCTTAATTAGGCGGATTGGCGCGATGAAGATATCACTCCACTCCACGCAACGCTTTTAAATGCATGTTAAAGACGCGATGGATATCAAGCGCATAAAGAGGAGGTATAATGGAAGAGAGAGAAGCCTTTGACAGTGTTCGGTTCTGAGGAGCTACTTGCCGATTAATGAATCATTTGCCTTCTGAACGATAACGGAACTGACTTGTACGTACCACTTGACCCCGCAGCCACTACCTTACTGAGGTAAATTTAAGAACTACCCATGTCTACTCTAATTTACTAGCGAAAGTAAAAATATATTTATAAGTACCCAGGGTATGCACATTGCGGCTCTATCCTGTGCGACAACGTACCCCTGCAAAGGTTGAAACCCCAAACATGCGCGTAAGTGCTAAGCGAGATCTAAAGGGGTTAAATTCACGATCCTTCAGGATTACCTTAGGGCTGGCTCGAGAGATAAGACCAATTGGAAAACAAGACGTCGGAACTTTTATGGATATGAGGCTTTGTTTCATCCTTCCCGAGTACTAGGGGTAGTGTCCGCACAGGCCAGAAGAGGTAATCTAAAGATGTTCTTATAGATGACATCGATGGCTTGTGGAAGGGTTTATTCGGTATCCAACTCGTTGGACTTACATTCCTTTATTGCAATTACTTACGTTCTTTAAGACGAGATGTCTCACGGGGTTTTCTGTCATTACATGGTATGTACAAGTCCCTCGCTCATCTATACCCTCGAAAAGTCAGTCCATAAACTAAATCATCACCAGGTGTGGGGTACAAATGCCACCGAAGCTGCGATTGATGTCGCGGCAGCCAAAGCCATGGGCTTCGATGCCTTCGCCCTGGACGTCTTGAACTTCGACAAATCATCTACTTTCTGGTCCAACACAGCCATCGCCAATCTTTTCGCAGCTGCGCTTGCCATTGGTTTCCACCTCTTCTTCTCCTTCGATACCTTGCATTTCACAGACCCCTCGCAGTTTTTTTACTTGCTGGAAGAGTATACGAGCCATGGGGCTTATTACCACTGGGACAGCAAGCCCTTCGTTAGTACGTACCTGTATCTTACCTTACCTCACCTTAGCCAAAGACTCGAAATATATCTACTACTGTAGGCGTGCGCGATTGGAAGAGCTGAGCTAACACGCAATAAAAAGGTACTTTCTATGGCGGCAAAATGGCCTTTGGAGACTCGACACCCAACGCTGGCTGGCAAGACAAATTCATCGACGCCTATGGCAAACCAGTCTACTTCGCCCCCGCCTTCTCAGACGCAACCCGCATCCCCGCCCTGTCCTCACCCTCGCAAATGTACAATGACTACCCCGTCGCCGACGCGCTCATGTCCTGGGATTCGGCATGGCCCGAGATAGCGGACGGGAACGTCAGCGTCTACTCTACCATCGATCAAGAATACCAAACTGCAGCTGTTGCCGCGGGCAAGGAATTCATTATGCGTAAGCCAACCAGCCACATCCAATTTCACATTTTTTTGCATTTTATATGATCCAGCTAACACAGCACACACAGCAATGTCGACCCTGCAATTCAAACACCTCGACACAGCCGACAACTGGTACCGCACCGGCGAACTCAACCTCGCGCTCCGCATGCCACAAGTCCTCTCCGTCAACCCCACCTTCCTCGAATACCTAACCTGGAACGACGGGTCCGAGTCCACATACATCGGCAACGTATGGCACGACGGCGCCAGCGGGACGCCTAGCGCCAGTAACGGATACGGCTTTGACCACACGGGCTGGCAGAACATCATTGCGCCCTTCATCTCCACGTTCAAGAACAGTACGGGGAAGTCGACCGCTGCTGATATCCTGCCCCTGAACAGCACTACGGCCGTAGGAACGTTCTGGTACCGCACGATCCTGACCAGCGCGACGTGCGCGAGTGATGCACTGGGGAAGCCGAACGGGTGGGCTAATGCGCAGGATGTGGTTAACGTGGCGGTTATCCTGAGCTCTGCCGCGACGGTGACTGCTTATTCCGGGGGTGTGAGTCTTGGGACGAGAGCGGGAGTGAAGGGGCTGAATGCGTTTAGTTTTGGGAAGTTGAAGACGGGGGATGTGAAGGTTGAGGTTGTCAATAGTGCGGGGACTACTATTTTGACCGCGACGGGCGGACAGCAGGTCGCTGCTGATGCGGCGATTTGTAATTACAATTACTATGTTGTGCCGTTGAGTAAGGCATAGATAGGCTTTACGCAGGATAAACGAACAACGGAAGTGTATATTACTATTATTTTCTCTACATACAATTTACAACTTGGATCGGCCAATGTTTTATAAAACAAAACCTGTCAAGAAATGTAAACTGACAAGTGGAACAAGACGCACTGATGTAAGTTAGGGGCACCTCCTGCCACAAGTATAATTCGCACTTGGTCGAGAGAAGCTCCCAAGAAATAAAAGACCAACTTGCAATCTTTTGGATTCAAGAGTTTGGCAACAGGAGATCAAATCACTGGTGTTAGTCTAGACCCTCCTGGGTGAACTGCCCACTTGAGAGATCTTCAGTACCAGCTTCCAAACACCTCAGATGATAGGGATTGCTTTGAATAGGAAGATAAAGTGCGTGCGCGCGCTCAATTCTCAAAACATCCATGATCACTCGATCGGTAGGATGTTTTGAAACAGCCACTAAAGGAATCACAGCTTTACTCTGTAACTGTAACTACGTCGGAACACGACATTACTTACAAACGGCCAAGTGCAGGTAATGTTGCCCTTGAAACTCAAGGAGCACTGGGCTAAGAGGCTAGTGACTTTCAACGTGTAGCATGTGAACTTTACCCGGAACTTGTATATGTGGTCGAAGAAGTGCAATATTTTCCAAACAGAAGAAGCCGAGAGCCAAGCCATGGAGACGGCTAAGTAAGACGGCCAAGTGTGCGACTTTGGTAATGCTTCGCAAGCTAAGCCGGGAAGGAGCACGTACATTGCAGCTAAAAGATTTGGATTTGATGGTGGCTGCATTTGCAAGTGGAGCGGAGATTGCGTTGAATTAATAAATTGTGGTTACGGTGATCTCGTTTTCAAAACAAAGGGAGGAACGGGGAATGGAGATACATTGTATGAGCAGAGCCTCCAAACTCCTGTCTAGCTGGTATCGACCTAAATTAGATATTACACAAATCCATACGCCTCTAAACCAATAGCTGGTGAACACAAACGCCTTGAGATACCCCCTTCTAGTCTAGGACGCAACCATACACTTCTCTAGATATTACCCATTTTCGAGTCTCTCGGAATCAAGTCTACACATGTCTTACTCCAGTCTAGATATCAACCCCTTTCTGACTTTGGCGTTAACCACCCCTCCTACACCAAATGCCGGTACGATCCGGCACATGCGGGCCACGGCACTGATTGCCCAATTCTTTTTAACAATGGTCCATCTGTCACCCCAGCTGATTCCCTTCTGGCCCCTGTTATACAAATCCAGCCCCAGCAAATGCATCGGCGTACTGATGATCTGCACTGAAGCGGGAGCCAGAAACTGCGCTATTGTCTGTCCACTCAAGCTCTTTTGTAACTCCTGGCTCATGTTCCTGCTTATGACGGGCCCGAGAAGTGGAGGCACATTGAAGGACGCGAAGATGGTCAGGCAATCGCGCAGGGTGAAGAGAGCGTACGACGGCAGAGGGACTGGTCGAGGTGGGCCCCCGGGCCCAAACAGCCGTGCAAAGGTTTGGTCTTTGAATAGGCATAGGCCAATGTTGGCAGTAGATGATGCGGCGAACTTGAGGGTGTCAGAGGTGACATATGTAGCGGGCCTGTCTTGAACAGTAGAGGTTATGGTGTCGAGCGTGTTGGCGGTGAGGTACGTGCCTCCGTACAACATGCAGATGAGCCCGAAAGGCTTCGAGAAGACGAGGTGGTGGGGACGGAGGAGGAAGGCGGCGAGCGACTCTTTCAGCGAGTTCTTGAGGGTTGCTTGGCCAGAGGCATTCTGCATGATTCCTCTATATATTACATCAGGAGCAGTCCTTCACTTCATGGGGGAATTGCGCAAGGGAGAGGACTGACTTGTCAATGATGGTGATCAAAGGAGCAACCATGGTTGCAGCTGTAAATCCAGAAATGAAATCCGAAGCCAATCGCAGACCCAGATTCTTTGTGTTCCATGTCTTTGCTTCTTGCAAAGGCTCGGAAGGCTTTTGAGGCCGAGTCATGATCTGTGAAGATGAGTCTATTTTTGGTGCTGGCGGTTCCAGTCCAGAGGTTTGTTGTGTCATCTCGGGAGCATTGACTTGATTCACACCTTCTATTGAACCTCAGAAAGAGCGAAAGTAAGAGAAAGAGAAGTGATGAGGATGGTTTGACGTCTGTGCGGGTTGATTGATTGATACGACGAATATTCAATTGGCCGACTTCGCAGTCTAAATCCATGGACCACCAGACTACTGTAATTTTAAATTTCCTTATCTTATCTTATCATCCCTTTTCTTATCCTCCCACACGTGACTATGATTTTGGAGTTCAAGTTTTCTTTTCTATTGTCGATGTATGTCTACTGAATCCTGAGTTATATATGGCAATGAATTTATGGCTATGAAATAAATCTGCCTGATAATTTTCGTATTCCAGCAGCTGTCCGTGCTGTTCTCGTCTCGGTCTCATTTTACCCGATCGGCTCGGGCAAACCATTATGCGCGCTACATGTAGTGGAATTGAACGTGCATGTAATGTGATACTTTACTTTTACTCTTTGGCTCAAAAAACAGAATCCTTGACTTGCAGTTTTTCAGGTCTACGTTTTAGATTAATAACGCCCCCAATATTTCGCCTTATGCTTGAACGTCGTCTCTTGCCTCACTACGAGTATCCGACCTTTTCTACCCCTCCTTTTGAGGGCCCTTGTTCACCACTCCCCCAACCCTCACCATGTCTACTCAACTCCAGAACGTCTTTCCCACGAATATCACGGAAAACAAGGGGACCATGGGGGTTGCACCCACGGGCAGACAAAACTACAAAATTGCTTTGATTCCTGGTGACGGCATTGGCATCGAAGTCATCCATGAAGGCAAAGTAGTCCTTCAGAAGCTTGCAGCGGAGCTTAACACGTTCGATCTGGAATTCGAGGAATTCGAGTGGAGCAGTGCCTACTACAAGAAGCATGGGAAATATCTACCTGATGATTATCTAGCGCAGGTGAAAAAGTTCAACGCAATTCTGTTTGGTGCTGTTGGTGCTCCTGGTATTGTTCTTCTATTTAGCTGAATTAGATACCTAGACTAATCATAACCCTAGATGTTCCGGATCATATTTCACTTTGGGGTCTTCGGCTTGCATTGTGTCAACCACTACAGCAGTACGCTAATGTTCGGCCAACTCGTATTCTTCGGGGTACTACTTCTCCACTTCGTAATTGCAAACCGGGGGATCTTGATTGGGTCATTGTCCGAGAGAACTCGGAAGGAGAGGTAAATAACTCTCCAATACTCAGTCGAACGATCTTGCTTGTTTTAGTATCTCCTTTGGCATCTCTGGAGAACTGGAATGCTCCTAATTCTGAACTTCAAACTTTGTTTTGACCTAAGCTGACACTGAGAAACCCTAGTATGCTGGCCATGGCGGAACATCACATACTGGTGAACCATGGTCTGTGGCCACAGAAACGTCAATATTCACACGACATGGCGTGGAAAGGATCATGCGATTCGCTTTCGAGACTGCGAAAAGTCGGCCGCGGAAGAAGCTTACAGTGGTTACTAAAAGCAACGCTCAGAGAAACGGAATGGTCTTCTGGGACACCATTGCCTCAGAAGTTGCCAAAGATTTCCCGGATGTTGAGGTTGACAAGATGCTGGTGGATGCCATGACCACTCGGATGGTGCTGAAGCCAGAAAGCATTGACACAGTCGTAGCTACGAACCTGCATGCGGATATCCTCTCAGACTTAGCTGCTGCATTAGCTGGGAGTATTGGCATTGCACCTACCTCGAATCTGGACCCAACACGAGAAAACCCATCAATGTTTGAGCCTATTCATGGGAGTGCTTTTGACATTACGGGAAAGGAGCTTGCTAACCCTGTCGCTACATTCTGGACGGCAGCAGAAATGTTGAGATGGCTGGGGCAGCCAGATGCAGCTGCACTTCTCATGGAGTCCGTAGAGAATGTTACAGAGACCGGAATCAAGACGGCAGATTTGGGTGGGTGGCAAAATACGAAAGAAGTCACGGATGCTGTCTGCAAAGAGATACAGAGGTTGGCCAAGGAAAATCAAAAAGCCTGAATCTTTGTTTGGGTACTATAATATCGATTGAGCCAATCGCCATTTTGAACAACAATAGATGTCTTTGTATTTCAAGTCATCGTTAACGAAGAATGTGGAAATACATAGATTCTGCGAAGACCATCCACCTAGAATTTAGGAAATAAGAAAGATAGAGCTATTCTCTTCACCTCAGCTACAAGGTAGAAAACTGTCAACTTGGAAGACTTTCCGGCTTTCATCATCCCTATTCAAAGAGACTTAAGGGAGACTGACAAGTATAATTTGCATTTAATAGCAATGGCAATACATAGTACAGTGTACTGTTACGTTTGTGCATGATTATTAGGGGTGTGAAGAGTTATGAATTAATTTCTCGCCCCTTGGCTCCACCATTTTAGTACCGAATCCCTGGAAAGGGGTGTTTAAGCGAGGTCAGAGGTCGCCAATCGTAGGGCAACATAGGCGGTCATTCTACTAAGCGGTTTAGAGAATCATCGAACGCTGTGATTAGGAATCACTTCAACCCATATTCGTGAGTTTCAGTCTGGGTAATTTGCGGAACCCCTCAATAAATGAACGGCGAGTTGATCACAGAGCTCCATGTCAGTTGATCGCTTAGAGCCTTAGATGATGGGCAATTTCACAGCATAAAAAAATTCTTATTGAGTTATCATTTACACGGTGTCTATCAAGGCATTGAACTCACTTTAATCAGGAGCTGGAAGTTGGGCTTTGAAATATGTGCTAAAAATTGGACAAGGAATCAAACCCGAGAAAAATTTGAGAAGGTACGAATTGCAATATGTTTGTTATTCCAAAGGTGGTTTCTATGCTCTTAACACTATAGCCTGGGTATATCTGCCATCAACAGCTTTCAGCAGCACATTCCAGCTCTCCAGCGTCATTGCTATTGGTCAGATTCACATGCAACGCCTTGAATCTCCGGATAGCCTCCTGATGGGTATTGAGCCGTCTCCAACCCATACAATTCAGCACGACATGAACCTGCAAGCCATCAACCATAACAGCATCAACAACAGTAGCTAGAACACAAGTACCGGAAGCAACGCCGCAGAAGTACACATCCGTCACATTCCTCTCGCGTAGAGCGTCCAGAAACCGAAACCCACTGGTCCCGCTGAACGCCGAGTAGGAGTCTTTGGTGATAACCATGTCCTCTGGCTCAGCGAGAGCAAATACATCCGGGTAGATGTCAGCACCGAAACTACCGGCTTTGCAACAGGGCGTTGGATGGACGTGGGTGGCCGCCGCGAGCCACTCGTTGGATCCCAGGATTCCATCTCCCCTTGGATGTTCTTGCATGCATGAAGGCTCCTCGGTTCTCTCTCCGTATACTGCCTTTATCCAGATAATGTGTCCGGTTTTTCGGAACTGGGGAATGAGGGTTGTCAAGTTCGTGATGAGATCTGTCCTGCAGACGTCGGAAATTGGGAAAGCGCCCGCGGTGGATATGAATTCGTTTTGCACGTCGATGATAACGAGAGCGCTAGTCTCTGTGTGGTTTGCGTCCATGATGACTTTGTGGGTTTTTCCTGTTTCGGCGTGTAGGATTGTGCGAATATTCGGAGGTGGTGTTGTGAAGTGACGGAATGATAGACAGTTTACTTAAGACGGATGGCAAGGTAGATGTAGAGTTCTTGAAAGTCAAAGAAATGGAGAAAAGTCATTATATACACTCTATAATAATCTTGGTTTGGTATGTTATTCACTACAGGTAGCCTATTCTTAGAAATTGTGTGCTTTGTGCAAATCACACCTTCCAAGATAGAGACTGTGAAATATTTGACAAGGCTTTGCTGTATTCTGTTTAAGGTTTAACTCAAGACTTGAACATAGTATCCTGAGGTCCATTGAATTTTAGAATAGAGAAAAAGATTGATAAATGCTATCTTTGCTTTAAGATCCAGGTTTCTTTCTTTTATATCATATTTCATTCACTTAAAGTGTAGATTCCTGATAAATTCATAATTAATCCTTTAGATTAGATTAACGCATACCTTCTCCATTCCTTTATTGCGTCTTAGGACGAGAAATCAACGACACGCCGAAAGAGAGGCCACGAGAAATTTCGCTTGCCAGCACTAGTAAAGAGGAAAGCTACCGCGGAAGAAAGATATAAATTAAAGCATGCACGAAAGAGTTTTCAGGAACTTGAATTGATAGTGAAAAGAAAATGACTCGTAAAATAATGCTTAACAGTAAAGGATTTGCTGCTTGAGTAAAGCCTAGCAGCATAATAACCTGGAATTCTGTTATACTAGAGAAAAGACTGCGAGGAAGACGGAGAGCTCGAGGTTAAAGACCTGCAGATGGACGCGGACTCCAAATGCTGTGCAAGCGAAGATTGGCTGTTTGCTAAAGACTCACTATGAAAACACGCTTATGAAATAGAACGATCATTAGGATTCTGCACTTGATCATCAATTCTATCATCAATTGAGCCCACTGTCTTGCCTCACATTACCACTCAATTAGAGCTTCCGCACACCTTAATTCTAACAGCATCACTTGAGGTAAACCCTTCTAGAATCATCCCCTGCTCTACTGCCCTTTGCCTCTCCTTTAATACCCTCTTTTCTCGTGCTTTTAGTCTCTGTTCGCGTATATTAACTACTCTCCTTTCGTCCCCTTCGTCATCCTCAATTTGTTTGAGTGCTTGATACCTATATATATACCTAAATGAGGATATCCCTTGGGATCACATGATATCCAACCGACATGCGAAGTATTGCAACTTTTTGGAGTTTTGACAGCTTTGAATGATTAGGTTTGCCGTATGCGGCCTATTTATCTTACTCGCTGACATAATAGCGCGTCTCAAAAGGGTGGCCAAAGTGCCATTCTAACACGAAGACATCTGAGTTCACAGGCCAAAAAAAGAACAAATCACCTTGTGCAAGGTCAAAACTCGTAGAGCAATACCATTACTCTTCTCTCCAGCAATTCCCAAACGGCAAATGCCTAAAGTCGCGAAAAACTTCTCCAACCAGGCCAGCTTGGACCCGACGAATCGACTCCCATGTTGTGGAATTGTTGTCGTATCCGTATTTTTCCGCAGCTTTAATCATGCCGTCTGCCCAGGCTTCGGGGTTGCGGTTGGCCTTTTCCCCGAGAGTTTCGAATTCTTTTGGATAAAAAATTGGGCAAATACTAGCGTCCAGAGGGGATTCTTCGCCAGTAAATAACCTCCTACGATCCTCTGCCTTTTCTAGATCGGTTATAAACTGTACAGCTGTAGCAAGGGACACCCTGACGAAGTCAATGCTTTTTGTGACAACATCGAATCTGTCCAAAGGCAGAGAATGCGATTTGAGACTTTCGAAGGAAATGGATTCATGCAGCCCTTCCTCCACACCAGTGCGAGCGATCAAGACTGTTTGGTGCTGTGCAATCTTGCGGAGACTAATCAGGCCGTCTGATTCGCGGCGGCATTCCTCATGGTAGAACGAATCCAAACGATCGATAATTACGACAAGAGCGTGATAAAGGGGAAGCACGGAGTAATATTGTGAGCTCGAAGGCTGGCGTTCGATAACATTGTCGGCGCGGCCTTCAACTTGATTAATGAGGCTAGATGCTTGAACGCAGAGAGAGCGGTGTGCCTTCCTAATCCCAGCTACTGTCGGCGGGCCTGTCGAGGTAATTCTAACTGGGTTCGCAAAGAAGTGACCAAATTCGATGTTCGGTTCGTTGTTGTAGCATCGACGCCATTCTTCGTAAATGGCCGCGAGTATGATCTTTGGCGTTTGATTCTTTTCTCCGGTGGCATCCGTCTGCTGTGCGGACTGCAACCAATAAAACGCCGTTGGTTTGTTGCAAAGATAGCTGAGCTTTTCGGGATCTAGGTTTCCAACCATATCGTCAAAACGTATTCTGTACCGGTCGGTTGTTGCCCATCTAATCCTCGTTTCCTCGCGAAAATTATCAACTCTTAAGAAGTGCCATGCTTTCTTTAGGTCTGCTCTAACTAGCGATTTGAGTTCATTGGAAACTGGATATTGCGTAACAACTGAATCCCAGTGCTTATCAATTTCTTCGTCCGAGCGAGTGGTTCTCCCTGCTGTTTCAGGTGTCTCATGAAGAGCCCTGGAGGACGCAATGCTGCCTAGGCCTGACATGAGAGGTTCGGATTTAACGGAGATCTGGAATTCGACAGATGCGCTGTCCTGGATGCTTCCCGCTTCTGGGCGGTGGTATTCTTCGATGCTCGTCTCGTCGATGCCAAATATCACTGGTCGGAAGCTGTAGGTTGTCGTGGTAAAGAGAGCGAACTGCATGTTGTTACTTGCGAAAGAGGTGGTGAACGCGTCCGGGTGGGACGTCCTGTGATAATGCGTGTTTGAATTTGGACCGAGCAGTGGATTTTGGTAGTAGAGCTGGTAAATATAAGTACGCAACCGAAGAAAATAGTTAAGCTTATTCTGGCTAAGAATTGGAAAATTGATTCATAATACCCTTTTATCCATTCGTTTCTTCTTTACAATACACCCTATACCTAAATCAACTCTACGTTCAGCAAGAGCTCGTTATTCGCGCACTTGCTCAAGTCGAAGAGGGAAGCATGAAAACGGCTGCTCTGCGCTCTTTTATGTGCTTCCTTAACCGTCAGGATAGAGATGCTCCATGCGGCGTAATAGTAATTTGATTCCTTTTTGCGGTCTGAATGATAAGCTTTAAACAGTGCACACCTTGTTCGACCAACCAGGTGGCTAGGAATAGTACTTAGACATACCAGATCATTCGATTATCACCATAAATCCTATCTAGGTTTACTGGTGGTTTGGTGATTCTGGCTCCTGATTACGTAAGCCAATGGTGGTGGCGCAAAGCCCCGGCTCCTCGCAACCACAGCCAGGACCTTCACCACGACCACCATTCTTATCCCCCAAGTCACCCTCAACCTCTCTTGACAGCGAATTCACTCGTCTCTCGCGATGCCTCTGCCTGCTGAGATTTGCCCTTCATATGGACATAGTACAAAACGGCAAAAGACTGGTCTTGCCTGTGACACTTGCAGGCAGCGGAAATCTCGCTGCGACAGCCGGAGGCCGAAATGTACTCATTGCGAGGATGTAGGCCTTGCCTGTAGTTATAGGCCGACTCCAACAAACCTTGAAAGGTAAAAGTGATTTACGACTGGGTATGAACTGTATCTAATCATATAACAGCGACTCAGCCGTCCTTTCACGCCTCACACGAGCTGAAGCACGTCTAGATACTCTAGAGGCATCGGTTGTTCCGAATAACGGCACACAAACAACTGAAATCACATCCTCTCCGCCTCCAAAGACAACAAACATCACAATGGTGCCAGACTTCCACACAGCTGCCGGGCACAAACTCCTGCAATATTGGTCTAGGATTCATGTGAAACTAACCATTCCTGCAATCGATCCTCTCCGCTACCTCAAAATGGCCGATGATTCTGACAGTCTACTACATGATATGGGTCATGAGGCAACCTCTCTATCTTCTCCAGCTTCTGCCTATGCATCGCTCACATGTCTTTTTGACAATCGCTTGGAACTTCCACCAGTCTTAGCTGAACTTTTTCTCGTCGAGCGGTTCTCTCGTGAGAACGTTCTCCCTTTCTTTACAACAGCATCGGATGCTGATTCCATACCCCTCCACAACTATTCCTTAGTACCGCTATTGTTACTCAGTGTAGCGGCTGCTACTACAGAATACCCACTCGGTTTTGCTCCGGAGTCCTGTTTTTCCATCGCTCTTACAAAGATGTGGACCATATTCTCCGGATCAGACGATGGGATTGCGTCAACCATGCTGTTGACTGGAGCTATCTTTCTATATTTCTTCGGAAAGCCTTTCCATACCTTGGGCATCTTGAAAAGTTCTTTCGTTGCGATCGAACGGTTGGCACTGAGAGATCACAAGTAAGTGGTCTTTCTACTTCTTGAACTTGCTCTAAATATCCGATCTAGCGACGTCAAGGCTCGAGCAAGGATGTATTCTTGCATACATTTCCTGTTGGAGAGGTAAATTGACCCTTGCCTTAGTATTCGTGGCTTATTATAATCACAGTGACATTCTGACTGAGATTGATGGATTACCATCAAAACAACCCTTGGACTTGCTCATTTCAGAACATGATCTACCTCCTAAGGTTCTATATAGTGGCCCTTCAGTTGATCACACCTCAATGGTCAATGGTCATCCATCGAGCGCAATTCCAAGATCATACCTTGCTATTCAAGTGTGGCTGCGAGGATGTCTTAACAATATCCTAGGGCTTTATACCACCGACAGAGCATATTGTCATCCGCACGAAGTTGGTGCCCTCGTCAGCAATATGTTTTCTAAGCTCAACAGCTGGTATCTATTATCGCCAGTTGACCTTCAGTTTCCACGAAGTTTATCAAGTTTCGCTCTTTCTTCCCAACTGTATTCTATTCCTATGGTAAACCAAGTCCTACAAAACTTTGGTTGCCCGCTCATTAATGTTGTTATAGCGAGATTTAGCTTTGCGATATCATGCCTGCATATTCTTGCTTAATCGCACCAACCTGTACTCGGTACTTTACGAAGACATGGAACACTCCGCTACTTCACCAGGAGAGGGTATATCTCGCGAGACTGTCTCTCAACACTTCACTGAACCTTGGGTCATTGAATCTTGCAGAGCATGTATTGAGAGCGCATGTCTTCTCATACTATTTCAGGAATCGACCACCTCAACACCCCTTGGTAGCCACTACCATAATTGGTGCGACTTGCAACTCCTCACGGCATCCTACACAGTACTTTTGCAGGTACAGAGCACGCTCATGCTTGCTCCCCTTTCGCCAAAGTACGAAGATATCGAGAATATCTTAGACACCGCCGAAACCGTCATGCATAATGTCACATATAAATCCAATGGCATACACCAGACTTTGGATATCTTGATGAATATTAGACACAACTTTGGGATACAAACTCCAGGGTAGATTTCAGCATGAATCTTAGGCTTTTGTGATTTCATCTTCACCAACGCGGCCTGGTTCCGACCTGATAACGTTACCAAGCCACGGTTTCAACAATGGAATTTCAATAGGCACATTGGTCAAAGTCACTATCACAGGCACAAATTTTGACTATTAAGCATATCTTGTCATTACATGATACTAAATGGAGTAGTGTGAGAAAGCTTTCCTCAACAATGTTCAACTTCTGTCAGTCCCGACTCCATCGCAATCTTAGCCTCATCTTCGCACACCGAGGTAATGGGGACCGCGAACGTGTGTGTCTTCCATTGACGTACCGGGACCTTCTCTTGAAAAAGTATTTCAATCTCCAAGTTTGATCTTCCGGTCGTCTCGCCAACACAAAACCAAACGTAGAGGAGAGTAATGCATGTCGAACCAGCGTATACGAATCCGAGCATTGGTCCTAGATTGGCAGAATAGTATAGGTAAGGCGAGGTAAAGGCGATTACCCATACTGTAAGAAAGAAGCTGACGATGGCACAGGACATGATTTTGTTCCTGTTTCTTCCGGCCGAGCACTCACTAGCCATAGCAAATGCTAGTGGTCCCAATCCAAAGTTGAAAGCAACAATCACGATGTAAGAGAAGACGACAATGGCGGTGCTGAAACCAGTTGTCAGTTCCTTGCGTGTTCCAAAACCACCAATAATGATGAAGGCAAAAAACATCATAACAGTCGTGACCAGCAAATTAATCCTTCGAGGTACTTTATTGCCTAGCGCTACAGACACGGCGACGGCAACAACTTGGAGCACATTGGTGATCAAAGAAATGGTGAAGGGCTGAGAAATGCCTATGGATTGCGCAAAAACAACACCGTACGAGTAGAAGAATTGGATGCCATTGATTTGCTGGGCTATCATAGCTCCACAAGCGAATATGAGTTTTCGTCGTTCGATTGGATCTCGGATAAGTGATACCCAGGTCGATGTTGCTTCAGCCTCCTTCTCCTTTGCCACTTCTTCTTCAAGGATATGTATATCCATTGTCGCTTCGTAATTTTTGGTACTCTTATGTATCTTTTGGAGGGAGCGTTCGGCTTGCTCTATCCGTCCTTTCCGCATGAGCCACACCGGACTTTCTGGAAGGAAAGGTAAGCTGGCCATCATCAGCAATGGCAGTAGCGCGAGTAAGCCCATTGGTATGCGAAAAGCTGCAGTTGACTTGAGGGACTCAGTGCCCTGAGTTACGCCCGAACCCACGAGCTGTGAGCAAGATTGCATGAGCTGGAAGGTCATCAATGCAGGTCCCCGGATAGCCTTTGGCGCGATTTCTCCGATGTACAGGACACAAGTTACGGTAAATTGACCAATACCGAGGCCGATGAGGATCCTGCCTAGAATGATCAGGCCTTCACTGCCATTGTCTGCTACCTGCACAACAGCACCGGCAATAATGCATAAGGAGGCGCACAGAAACACAGCTTTGCGGCCAAGGTGATCGTTGATAGGGGCAGCCAAGAGAGCTCCGAGCAACTCACCAACGTAGATGATGGATGCTGTCAATGAGAGAAAGCTTGTTGTAAGTGCCGCAGTGCCTGATGAGTTCTTTGTGCCGTAGACATCGATAAAAGGTGTCATCCCCTGGATGCCGGTGTAGTAGATCTGATCATAGCCGTAGCAGAGCGCACCGCAGGTAGATATCGCGCAATAGAAGAGAGCCCATTTATGCTCATGGAAGTTGATGTTCAGCATGCTGATAAGTGTGTGGCAGTTCACGATCCACGGAAATAAGAAAGCCAGAAAGATTGAGAGCTAGATGAAGACTTGAGAGGAATATTGGACATTTTTACGGTTCCTTGTCGCTTTAAATACTCCACCTAACACAACACCTGGGGTAAAAAAAGCGGGAAGAATCATGTTACTTTGTGGTTCCGGTGACACGGTTTTGCACTAACGACTTAGTCAAGTTTGGGGTATCTGGGGCCCCCTCACTTGGTTAAATATGGGGACCAAAAAGGGGCTAGAATTTGGTAGGCGGTTTCCTTCCGTCGGCGCATTCCCCGAACCCTGTCCAGACCAAATACGTGGGGCAAAAGATGTACCAATGATATTTCTCAATACAGGTAGCCTAGCATATCATACTATTTTGCTATTCCCCCAGGCCCATTCCGTTTTATTTACTGTGGAGAAGGCAAGTTCTCCCATGTGTGTATGTGACAAGCCACTCATCCCACCTTACCTGTGCCGCGCATCTCATGAACCAACTTCCAGATCCACTCATGAAATTTTCAGGATATCATTGCGATATTCTACTCTACTTAATGGAGGATCCTTAGAGACAAGCGCATCTTCCTTTTCGTTGGCTTTTGAGTATTGGTAACCCATTATTTATCTAGTAGTGAGTGTCCTTCTCTAACATCGTTGCTCTAGGTTGAACTTGTGATTCTTGAGCCCAAGTTGACTGAAATCGCAGCTGAATTTTCATAAGCAAAAATGGTTTCTGCTCGCCCCAATGCCCTGCAGGCCATGCAGAACAGTGGAACGGTATTGATTGCCGATACAGCAGATTTCCAGCGTTAGTGAATCAACATCTGATCATTTATGGTATTATAGCTCACTGTCATATATAGAAATTGCCAGATTTCGACCATCAGAGGGAACGACAAATCCGTCACTTCTCCTTCTTGCAGCAAAAGAAACTGCCTATTCTGGTCTGATCTCCCAAACATCGGCCTACTTGAAGTCGCTCGACAATGCACAAGGTTGCGAAGAACTAGCAGTGGAATACCTGGCTGTGCTATTCGGGACTGAGATATACAAATTGACGGGGCGAGTTTCTACAGAGGTTGATGTGATCTATTCGTTTGACACCGCCCAAACAGTTGCAGCTGCTCTACGCATCATTCAACTCTATGCCACCCAAGGAGTTCCCAAGGAAGCTGTCCGGATAAAAATCAGTGCTACATGGGAGGGTATTGCGGCTGGAAAAATACTACAGGAGCAACATGGGATCAGTGTTTTGATCACGATTGTGTTCGGCCTCGTACAGGCAATCACAGCTGCTGAAGCTGGCGTGGATTGCATCGCTCCTTACATTGGACGTATCAGTGACTGGCACAAGGCACACGGGTCTTCTCAGGGAACGGACGGTGGTGTTGAGACGGTGACCCAGATGCAGAATTATCTGCGGAAGTATAGCTACAAGACGAAGGTGATGGGAGCGAGTTTTCGTAGCACGGCGCAAGTAAAGGCATTGGCGGGAGTGGATCTCTTAACCATCTCGCCTACGATCCTGGAAGCATTGGAAAAGGAGACGGAAGACGTGCCCATTATGCTCACAGAGCAAACAGGTGGGCTTGCACATTTGCATTATATTCCGTGGAACTCTATTAACATTTATACAGCTAAATCCTGCGTCGCACAACAAGTTTCGTACCTTAACAATGAAGCGGCCTTTAGGTGGGCTTTTAATAAGGATGCATGTGCGGTGGAAAAATCAGCGGAGGCCATGCGAAAGTTTGCAGAGGATACTGAACGTCTTAAGGAACTTCTGAGAGGTCTATCTTAATGTTCATACGAAAATGCAGACCACTGATATAGAGAATATTAGGTAATCTAAGAGAAACTGGGCAACTTGATTAAGATGGTCTCATAGAATCGAGAGTATACAATGCAGCAAAGTCGCGTTCCATATAAAATAAAAAAGATGGATCAAGGTGTTGCATGACTTCTCCAATGTGTGATCCGCTCGGAGACAAATACTTAACGCATATTAACTACACCAGTCATGTGAAGCTTAACAACGGAGATACAAAAGCTGAGTGTGGCTTTAAGCTAGCGCTGCCAAGGCCTAGGGGACTGAGGAGAAGTTCCCACCTGACCCGTGAAGAAGTGTTACTGAAGTACTGGAACAAGACCATGTGGCATGTTGTGGAGTAATTGTAGATCCTTTGTGTGTATTTCTAGGCCTAGTTCGTTTAGAATAGGGAACCTTTGATGAAGGGCGAAGAACGAGACTAGCGGAGCGTTCCCCGACCCCTGTATCTGCAACCATCTCACGAAATGAGGAGAATGCGGGCTAAAAGTGGGAACTACTCCGTATTACTGACGCCAAAGCCCGAACAGCGAAAATCGAAAGAGCTTATAAATTACCATCTATTCATTTCAAAAATCAGATCACACCAATCGCAATACTTTCAATTGAGACTGAATTCGTCCTTAGACTTTTCTGAGATACGCCCCCATAAGTCTCTGTAATTTGTGCTTGATCTGCTTCTTTTCGCAACTTCAGTTCTATCCTTGACTTGATTCATCTATTATTTCTGGTAGACGAGAAACTTTCAATATGCCTTACATCCTCGGACTGAATAGTGGCTCCTCTTTTGATGGCGTTGATGCAGTTCTATGCAAAATTGATCTTGCGGAGGACGGCCACCCATCAAGACCAGAGTTCGTTGATGCTCTAACGGTTGACTGGCCCAAGACACTCCAGCCAATCATCCTACGAGCTTTTAATAATGATGTCTCGATATTTGAGCTCTGTCGTGTTAACTACGCGGCTGGGGCGCTTTTCGCGGAGGCAGCGAATAAGTTGCTCAAAAAAGCCGGTTTAACCCCAGAAGATGTCGATGTCATTGGATACGATGGTCAGACGGTCTACCAAGAACCACCTAATCGAGAAAAGATTTCGGAGTACGAGGAGAGCGGAAGTTCGAGTCTGGTTGAAATGTGGATGTCAGGAGCTTATCCCTGCGGACTCTTCATCGCGGAATCTGGAGTTGTGGCAGCATTGACAAACATAACCACTGTCACACAATTTCGACCGATTGACCATGCACTTGGGGGATCCGGGGCACCCTTGATGCAATATCTGGACTTTGTTTCATTCCGTAACGATGGACCAACTGCGACACTGAACATAGGTGGAATTGCGAACCTGCAGCTTGCGAACAAAGACCGTAGCAAGATGATGGCGTTTGATGTAGGGCCAGGAAATGTCATGATCGACCATGTGGTCAAGGCGCGCACTGGAAAGAGCTACGATAAAGATGGAGAGTTAGCAGCGAAAGGGAAGGTGATTGAAGCCCTGTTGGCTCATCTGAAAGACCATGTCTTCTTCACTCGGAACCCACCTCGGTCTGCCTGGCGGAATGATTTTGGGGCAGGATACGCCGAGAGGATTCTCGAAGACTACTCATCGGCCTCGACCGAAGATCTTCTTATGACGCTCACCCTGTTCACTGCCTGGAGTGTGGAGTCATCGTTGGTCGACTTCGTGCTTCCGCGTAGTCGTGTTGAGAAATTGGTCGCTAGCGGTGGAGGAACACAGAATGCAACATTGATGGCGATGATTGAAAAAAGGCTTGCGAGCCATGGAGTCAGGCTGTGTTTGAGTGATGAGTTCGGACTGCCAGCTACATACAAAGAAGCGATCAAGTTTGCGACGTTAGCTTTTGCCGCAAAGAGAAGTCTGGCAAATAACATTCCGGCAGCTTCCGGTGCTTCTTCATTTGCTGTCTTGGGGACATTGAGTCTGGCGCCGAGGTTGGCGATAAATGGAGACAAGTCGGAAGTGGTATACACAAATGGACATGTGTAGTAGAGGGCGATGCATCTACGTAGACTTTAAGCAAACTATTATAATGATGTGGTTAGAAATAACATTTTATACTATGGAAGAGCTAAAGGAGACTTGCACGCGTCCCTATGGCACAAGGCTAGCTTAAGCAGTAACCAGATAAATAAATAAAACCCGGGTCATAGTAAGAAGAATATAAAAGACAAGTGCTATAAAAGAATTATCTTATAGATAAAAGTAGAAGTAGCTACTTAAGGTCTTAGCTAGGCCATCGCAGTCTGGCGTGCTCATATCGTTCTCCTTTCGGCACTCCTGTAACCCTTACGAACACAAGGTCATCTTTAAATTCGTCAGCAGCGTTTATAATCAAATTGGATTTCCGCCGGAGCGGAGCTTCATATACCAAAACTTCCTTATAGCACAGCTTCTTGTCTAGTTTCTTTTAATAGTCACCAACCCTTAAAAGATAATTTAAGATCAATTTAATCTTAGAACAGTACATATCTCTAAAAACCTAACGTATAGATATTTGCAAATTTGTAGTAAATAATTTGTCTACGGCATAAGATAGTTGTTAGGCATAGACATTTGCAAATTTGTAGTAAATTTAAAGTAGAAACTGCCGGTTTAGGTAAAACTATAATAAACCGCCCTCTTTCTATACTCTACGACATTTAAATTTTTTCCTATAACTATAAAAAGATTATTTTTATCTATAACTGCTAAGCCAAGACAAACATCTTAGTTATCTCCTATAAAGTTTGAGTGTCCTTCTTCTTCAGGCACAATTTAGGATGGCGGCAACGCAAGTAGTAATTCATACTAATGCTCTTCACGACTAATCTTTTTAGGTTTAAGACAACCATAAATGGAAATTTACAATACTGAAGCACGAGTCCTTTTAGCTATCGAATCGAGAATTATATCAAGGTTCATATTAACCACATCACCAAGGTTGAGTTCTTTCTGGCCTTCAAACAAGCATATCAGCAGTCAATCACAGTTGCAAATAGTCAGGCTGGATTCCGCGGAGCTGGATTAGTCCCCTTTGATCCGCAGGCTGTAATATCAAAGCTGGATATGAAGTTACAGACTCCTACGCCTACTAGACCCCCTTCTACAGATACCGGACCCTTGGATTTCCCGGACTCCTCGTAACACAACCGATGCTCTTTCGCAAACCACTTTGGTTAAGAATCATCTTGCTTATCATCAAGGAAGCCCTCCAACCCCAAGCTTTGAGACATTTACTGCATTAGCGAGAGGTATAGAGCTATTAGCTCATGAATTGACTCTTACGAATGCCGAGATTTGTACACTATCGTTAGGCAAATGAAGCCCTTAGCAAACGCCGTAGGGCTAAAAAGACTTGTGTCCGTCAAGGAGGGGTACTTCCTATAGAGGATGCACTCGACATATTAGCTTAAAGGGAGATGATAAACAGATACGACGCGATAAGCGCTCGGGGTGGCTTTTGATAAAAAGAGAAAACCGACTAGTCGATGCTCTAGTAGTTGCGGAAAGACTGATTTAATAGTGTTGTTGCTTCATTGTATCTTGAAGTGGTAGAGTTGAGAAAATTGTCCGACTCAGTGATAAAACACGTTAATAGAATATTATTATTTGATAAAAATATCAACTTTGTTTTTAATCATTATTCCAAGTTGTTAAGAAAAAGGTGGGTTTGAATTGGACGATCCTTTGGTATTCTTAAGAGTTGATTTCCAGCTGTCGCATACCAGCGAGGCTGCATTCAGCTAAAAGCCTGGTGACAAACCTGTCCTGTATACGAGGTCTTTTGCCGATTTTTAAACAAGCAACAAGAATACTTGTAGCGTTATTTACTTCTGAAAGCATTAGATTACTACGTACAAAACATCTTATACAGTTACTATTCTGTCTTAAATACTTAAACATCAGCTTTACCCATCTCCATCTCTTTGCTTCTACTTTCTAATTCCTCCCTATTCTCAAGCGAGTCCAAGACAGGTACTCTCTCCAAGGAATTTCTAAAACATGCATAAAACACACAGCCGCCCACAAATGTAATTACAGCCAAGGAGGTATACATCCAGAGGATCTCCGGATCCTTTGTGACAGGAGTGAAGCTGATGCAGATAGCCGCCGCGATACCGATGGTGAGCCAGAACAAAGCGGAGACGAAAGATCGTAGCGATTCCGGAGCTTTGGTGAAGGCGATCTCGAGACCCGTGACGATGACGAAGGCTTCGGAGAATGCGACGAGGATGTATGCCGGGGCTTGGATCCAGACGTGGATTGAGTTTGGTGGGGAGTTGTAGATGTAGTGTTGCAGGACCGCGGCGTATGCCATAGAGATAGCGGCCATGAAGAAGCCGGTGGTGATGCGGGCCGGGGGGGAGAAGTGGATCTTCCATTTTCGGAGAAGCGGGTAGATGACAACTATATTTTGTTAGTTGAGACAAAGGATGAAGTATTCAGACTTACAGTCTAGTAGAGGGATGAAAATGGTAAGAGCGATGGGATCGAGATTTTGGAGAAGATCGTTGGGGGTTCCGTGTAGTGCCATTGTCCCGGCTTGCGAAATCAAGTTGTTCCAGATCTGAATCCAACTAACGAAGTACAATGGCAGAAATACGAAGAACTATTATGTTTCTGTTAGTCGTGGCAATTTCTCGTCCTTATTTGGGATCTTACCTTGCAAGCGGTGACACCTGTTCGAACTTTCTCGACCCAATCATCAGTATACTGAGGCGACTGCGCAAAGGTGTATTCATTTTCTCTGCCGTGTTCTCTTAGCAGACTGGGCTTCGCGTTCTCGAAACCCTTCTCCTTGATTGCAATCGAAATTATGCGTGCCGCATCGAGGATAGCAGATCCTTCAGGTTTTGTTTTAACATATCTCTTTCCATTCAATACAAACACCGCCATGGAGAGAGATATTGCACTAGTTCGAGTTAGCAAATACTTGAGGATACGACTCATGTGAGCCATTCTAAATGAAATCGGGC